TCTCATGCTGGAGACGACCTTGCACTGCGCTATAAACTTGGTCTGGAGACGGTCTATGGACGTGCCTGGGTGGTTAGCAATGACTGCCCGATATTAATTGCGCCAGGGGTCAGCGGAATCCGCAAGGAGTAAGGCTGATTTCAGATTCGGGATGTTGGTCTGTCGACAGCCAAACTCTGGATAACATTTCTCAAACCGCCCTGGAAATTGCAGTAAGATGGGGTCCAACAGGATGTCGAGGTCACATTGACCCCCGACCAACCCCTCCAACACGATCTGTAGTACAGCCTTACACCGGGGGCTGGACCTGGAACGCTGACGACGTCTTTCTTTATAGAAGCCGCTCAATTCAGGGTCTTTCGCGCGACTTGGACCCACGATGATCGGGAGCACATGATTAGACTTTATTACGCCTGGCGATGATGGGCTTCGAGCTCACGATACGCGGTCATCAAAGCTTGGAACCAGCCAGCCGGGCGGAATGATACAGGCGCAATATACAGATCCAAGACGTCTCAAGGTTTTTGGCTGTATATAGCAGCGATCTGGGAGGAGGTCACTAGCCGCGGGGACCACTGAGCTTCAGTTGGCGGACGCAGAAAACCGTCCGGAACGGGGAACAGGTTGTGTTTGGGCCGGGAGTAGTGGTGGAACAAGAGATCCAAGTCCAAGTGACCTATAGTGACCAAGCCCAAGCGATGGGATGTCCACGGCTAAAACTGGGCAGGGGCATAAGTTGCACGAGTGCTATACCCAGGTATTCACTTATCGCGCGAGGACCGCATGGGGGTAAAGCCTAGAAGGCGGTCGAGAATAAGAGCTTGTTCACTGAAGCACGACCGTAGCTTGGTACCCTCACCGACCCATCGGACTCGTTGGACGCCCTGGTTGGCTCTGCGGTCGGAGGTGTTGCAGCGATGGACGGCGACCGGGAGACGGCCGATGAAGTACGAGTATCACGTCTTGACGGAGCCAAACGAGTCGCGGGTGTATGACTGGCTGGATCGATCTCGATCGGAGTTCCAGCCAACCCATCAGCAAATCTTGTGGTCGAGGCAGAAGACCGCCTTCGAACGGAAGAACGTGACCGTGACAGTGCCATGAGCATGGCCTCGTCAGCAGATTCTACGGAGCTGTCGCTATCCTGCGCATGAGATACGGAGGGGAAACGCGCTCGTATTTGCTTCTGTGACCGCCAAGTCATTACAGACGGTGGCGTGGTCACGGTTTTTGTGCTTAGACGATTCTCTGGTCGTACATGCTGGAATATTGGGGACGTCGAGGCGAGGGCGAGACGCCTGCCGGGACTTGGAGTGAGTGGATACCGATCGTGAATGGGTAGTTGGGCCGGCGGGTCCTGCGATTGTAGAGGAAGGGCTGACAGGCGAATATGGTCCTACCGCAATGCAAGGATGACCGACGGAATTTAAAGTGGATCGCTGTTGGGTCACATGGTCTACGGGCGGGACCACGGCAGATGGGGATTTAAAAGCCGAACTCGAGGTGACCGCAACGCGCGCACGCTTGTTCGGGGGTGGCACAGGATCGGCCGCTGACTGCTCTCTCCGCCGCTTACCATAGGCGAGCCTTACCGACGTCGGAAGCCCCATAACGAGTTGACCAGATGGTTGAGCTGGGCCTGGCGGTCACGAGTAAGCAGATCCCGTTCAGCTCTCAACAGTGCTAGTTCCTCTATATGAGAAGCATGGCAAGAACGCAAACGGTGAAGCTCTTGTTGGCTTAAAGCGCACTTTGTTTTTAATTGGTCAAGCTCCCGACCACGTTGTGCAAAGCTGCAAGCAAGCGCATCGAAACCTATCTGCTATGGAGCAACACGCTGCTCACTTTCCGCTACCGCTCGCCATTGGTCTTCGCACTCCTTAGGCCAACTGGTCAACCTCGGTCGTGTCCACGTCATGCACTTGGTCACTACCCACGTCAGAATCGGCAGAAGAGGCATCATCCGCCGAGGCGTCATTAGATCCGACCAAAAAGCCAACAGGGTCGGCGAGGTGGTCAGCCGGAGCGGGGCCGGCTTGGTCAGGCTCGGTCGTGCCTGGTTCAAGGCCAGTGTAACCTTCGTCATAAGGAGCAGGAGTGGCCGAACGCAGCGGAGTTAGCTGAGGATACGTCGAACCTGAAGGTAGGGGATGTTCAACGGCCGGTTAAGATGGATGCGACATCTCCAGCAATGATCAGATGTAAGCAGATCAAAAAGTTCTTAACCAGATCGGCACCATCTGCAGCCTTACAGAGCAGGGGACGACTGTGGTGAAGTGGTCAAAGGAAATCCTGACTAATCGACTTGATCACCTCGTAAGTGCATGTGGGACCGGTCATGCCGGTCTTGGGACTGACCGCTACAGAAATCCCCAACGATAAGATAGACGGTTTGCAAGTCACCAGTGGCGGTCACAGATTATGACCACCGGTTAGGGTCACGACGAATGACTGACCGGTCATGGTCACGAGGGGTGACCAGTGGTCACGGTCACTGCAAGATGACCAGCGGTCATGTTGGCAGTTAAGGTGGTTTACTTCAAGCACAGGGAATGGGTGGTGGCATGCGAATAACGTAGCAGAAAACTGAGATAAAGAGAAGTGTAAACATAGTTCTAGCCCATAATAGGTTAATAACGCTAGTGTTGATTTTCCCACTAAAGACACGCGTCAGCATTCCTCCGGGCTGGAATACTAGTAGCCACCCGACGTACAAGGTTTACTGTCTGCGTGTTTGCTCAAGGTTTGTCCCTAGATTGATTGGCTATGGACAAGTATACTCATTCAAGTTAGCCCGCGATCGGACGCGGCAAGCATACAAGGCAAGGTCTTCAGACAGCTCAAGTGATCCGAAGGACAAGGTGACCAAGTGGTCAGAAGAACAAGGGGATCAAGTATCCACATTTGGACAAGGCGACCTCAAGGAAGGTCAGGCAACTCTAGGAGAGTGCCAACCGTAACCGCTGGTCGTGTGAAGAATTACCACGCGACCCCACCCCACCTATCCTTTACTCGGTCAAGGCACGACATCGACCTCAAGACACCTAGAAGAGTGCAACCGCCCGCCGAAGGGTACACAAGGTGAGAAGCAACAAAACAAGACAAGACACACGGTCCGGAGTACCCCCTCCGTTAGTCGGTCGTCCGGGCGCGAGTGGGGAGTCAGTATCGCTACGTTAATGAGCAAATCTCACTCTACCACAAGGCCAAGATGCGATTTCGGACATAGACTTTATGGTCCCCGCTGGTATCTGATTAGAACTGGGGGGGGTGGACCACTCCGTCTCCCAGATGAAGTTCGTATAGAACTGGCCGGCCGACGAACGCTTTACAGTGGCAGAGTGATTGACGTGAAGCTGGGCCAATTTGCACAGTTATCAGTAGGAGGATATGTGGAAGTACCCTTAAATGGATTAACCTTGGAGCATATTGTGCTATGAGTGACGAGAGGCGAACGGTGGGGCACTATGATAATCCAAGGGTAGGCCGGCGTCAATTCTTGAAGGTGAATTATGTCAGCACACAATTTTTTTGGGGTACATGTCGACACCAGTATTGGCATGTTATCAGCGAAGTACCAAATACCGAGGACACTAGCATCCGTCATTGTGGGCTCTTCAAAGATATGCTGAGTGGTGGAATTTGGCATACGAAGATACCACCGACCAGAACGGCCATCGGTTGGACCCGAAGGAGGAAGACGAGGGGCCATTAGTGGAAAACTCACAAAATCGTACCTCATTACATATTTTGAAGCGACCGAAAAGTATCACCCCGGTAATAAACGTTTCTCATAAACAGCTGCTAGTAGAGGAATTAACAACATGCGAAGATACGAAATCCATAACCCAATCTATATAAGCCGACGGCCCTCAGCCGATGGAATCCATGGCCACTCAGTCTATGGAGACCAATGTCCCTGAATAGAGAATAAACACTAGTACATAACACACGCCGAAGACCAATTGTGCACTTTTGAGAGCGGAGGAACTCTGGGACGAAAAAATTCAGTGAAATATATTCAGTCTTACCAGAAGTAAACCCCTTTGTCGAAGGAATCAAGTTAAAGGACATACAGATCCCTTATTCGGATGGGAACACACCTGAAGAGGTAGATCGATTGAGGCAAATCGTATGGAAGAAGCAACATCTATTGACGGTAAAAGGCATTGCCTTGCCACCAGCTGCTCGTGGCGCCATATGCGACTTCGACGTGGGGAATGCGAGACCGATTGCACATTGCGTGCTATAGGTATCCCCTCGGTTCAAAGAAAAGTTGACCGACCTAGTCAAGGGTCTACTGTCAGCAAAGATTATCTGACCGTCTACCTCGCCGTGGGACAGCCCAACAGTGATCATCGTGAAAAATATGGGTAGATATCAGGTTGCTCATTGACTACCGGTTGGTAAACAACTGGGCTCAACTCATGGTCTACACCATGTCACTGATTAACGAGCTACTAGAAGACTTAGATAGTGCGTTGTACTACTGATCTCTCGACATGGCAAGTGTTTTTTGGGTGGTTAGCATGACTGAGAAGGCAAGGTTGATTTGCAGCGTTTATCACACTTTGAGGACTGTTCGAATGGCTGCTGATGCCATTCGGACTCCAAAATTCACCACAGATCTACCAGCAACTTTTGGACAACGCGTTGTGTAGTTTCTTACGTATAATCCCGGAGACCAGATTAAATGAGCCAAAAAAAATGTATGTGTCGGAGGAACCAAACACAGAGTCAGGCCCCTCGATATTGCGTTGTCGGTGGTACGTTGATGACATACTTATACCCGCTGAATCTTGGAACATGTCATGCGACAAGGTGGAACGATTGTGGGACGTATGGGAATACTAAAATTTGTTATTTAGTGCAATTGAGAGCTCGTGGGAATGTCGAAGAGTCGACTACCTCAGCCACCGGGTCTCCAGAGAAGGAGTGGACAACCAACCCAAGGACCTCTAAGCACTGGTCGACCTTCCTCTACCACAACTCTCATCGCCATGCAGTCGTTCCTCGGATGTCTGAAATACTACCGCAGGTTTATCGAGGATTTTGCTATCTTTGCGTCGGCCCTGTACGAGTTAAGAGAGGTGGACGTCCACGCGTGGCGATGCAAGCTGAAGGATGGTCACCAATCAGCGATCACGGTCGACGACGAAGAGAAATGGTCTCGATTTCAAGTGGATTTCGCTATGCTCAAAACAAAGATGGCTACAGCGCCTATTTTGCGGATTTCGATCCATCGAAAGAGGCGGTGATTACTGTGTACGCGAGCAAACGGGCCATCTCAGCGTCGTTGGTGCATGACTTTGACGGCCTATTTTTGCTAGTGACCTTAACGATCCGGACAACCAAAGCCAACAAGTCGAACTACAGTACCGTGGAGAAATATGTGTTGGTGTTGCTTCAGATACAGTCAATTTGTTTTACGATGCTGGTCACTTGACCTCTCAAAGTATTAACGAGAAGCTCGACGTTGGTCTGGATGGTCAAATCCTCTGTATTGCAGGGGCGTTTGGGAAAAGGGGCCGCTCTCTTGTCCCAGCATACATTATATATTGTGCAGTTCAAGAGAGGCGAAAACCAGGTACTGGGGGCGTTAGCAGTCAGTATTACCTCTCCCCGCGAGAGTATAGACTCGATCCTATCGTCTATCGTACCCAAGAAACAGCCGAAGCAGAATATTGACCTACCTACGCCTACGTTGGAAAAAGACGAGGAGCTATGTGCTGAAATTTGATGAATCGGCTCGTGTGAAAAAGGGAGGAATAGCTTGTAGTGCCGTCGTATGAGGCCTGCCTACATGGTCGGTAGTAAGCGCTGACTCCAAATATCTCAGGAATCCACGGTGAATGAGGCCGAATATGAAGGCGTGCTGCTGTGTTTCGGGGGAAAAAAAAAAAGGTAAGTTTGTGTTAAAAAAAGCCTCTGCTATTTTTTAAAAAAAAAAAAAAAATTTTTTTTTTTTTTTTTTTTTTTTTTTTTTTTTTTTTTTTTTTTTAATGGGGGGAAGAAACAACTTTCCTTCAGGGTGGTTTGTTGTTCGCAGTAGTTTCCTTAGATCTTTGGAACGACGGCTACTAACCATCTGTGAAGACCTTAATCTGGTTGTCCGGAGAAACGCGGAGAAATCGAGTGCAAGTCGTCAGGGCTGTCTCCATTTCAGGTGAGATGTCTGAGCAAGCTTCGGTCGTGGACTTCCCACGAGATTCCCACGAGATACTCCACGTAAAGCGTGGTTGGTACCAGTTGGCTAGTGAAGCATTTTCCAGACAAGGAGGGGTTAAGTCAGAACCGAAGGAAGAGTGGCTAGGGTAGGAACCGATCAACCGATTACCAGAGCTTTTAGTCCACAAAGACGAGAATCGGACGGTTAGAGTATTCGCGGTGACCCGGTCGAGACCAGCCATTAGAATATCCGGAGAAACGACGCAAGGAGAGGTGGTACAACAGCTGCGAGTGGAACGTACTTGGAAGGCTCAAGAGCAGGAGAGCTGATTAAAAGATCTAAGGTATGTTTAAAAGGGGAACTATGCGGCCTATTGGCAGAATCGGCACAGTCATGCGCAAAATGTCCAGAGACTATGAGTTCAGCGAAGAAGGATTACTGGTAAACTGTCTTACTCACAAGACCGACAAGGGCGACCGAGAAATAACCGCCCGACGAGTAATTATTAAATCCCTTTAACCCGACGCGTTACATCACTACCACTCTAGCCTGAAAGGCGATCATCAGGGTATCGGTCGCACCTACTATCGGATTCGACGGTATTTTCATTAAAATGGCTAGTAATGGAGTATGCAGCGGTATGTGGCATTTTGTGAGGATTGCGAGACGGGGAAGGGAGAATTTACTTCAAGAAACAACCTCAGGTAACGACGAGGCCAGCCACCCTTTTCAAGTCGTAGCAATAAACCATATCCCCTCGTTGCCTAAGTCACATGAGGGAAACACAGAATTACTGATTAGGGTCGACGTTTTCACTGGGTATGTGATGGCCAAGGCAAGTACTTCGCGAATCACTCAGACGGAAGCTGAAGGGTTTGAATTAATTTCTTTTCGCTGTAAAAGGACAGCGAGTTGATCCGCCATGACCGGATCCCGGTTTTACATCGGACTCCTCTCGAGCGTTTTATCGCATGGTCGGTCAGCGTCAACATGCAACGATGGCCTACCGATTCCAAGCGAACGGAACTGCGGATAGAATGGTCCAAACCCTGACAAGTTCTTACTAGATGTACGTCTCAGATGTGGCGCAGCAGAGTTGGGACGAATACGCAGAATGATGTGGCGCAGCAGAGTTGGGATGAATACGCAGAAAGTTCGCTCTGAACACTGCACACGATGGGGTGCAAAACGAGATATCACTGTACTTGGCCAACAGGTAGGACTCTAAAACCACCCTGGAGCAACGTTGCCATTGATGAACACCAGATGCAAAGGGTCGAAGCTCGAAGATCGAGGTACCACATCGAGAGTCACAACCAGCGTGCACGGGAACAGGTAAACGAGCATTTGCGGTTGGCCTATCAAGCCAAGATGCTAACTAATAATGAACTAGTGGTCGGTCACAAGATTCGGGTAGGTATTCAAGTTTGCCTTTACCCAGATCGCGTGAAGGAAGGGTACACCAAAAACGTGTCCTACCTCTCGCATGGTCCGTTTCGAGTTTTGGAGTAGGTAAATGAATGTGCTGCGCAGTTGGAATAAAGAGATACGAAGTACATTTTATTCCCGATTGTTCACACTTCCGAGCTTAAAAGGATCAGGGAGTTCCCTGATCGCGAGGTGACCGGCTGACATTGGACGAGGCCGACTGGGTAGACTTTGCCAGATACTTGTTGCCAAAGGATAGCTGGAAGAGCGAGCTGGAAGAAGGCCGATACGAAGTGGAAGCAATTTTAGAAAGCCGTGTCAGCAAAAAGACGCGTTACGGTCGGCAACGGCGTTGGTCCTTAATCCGTTGGAAGGATCATGCGGACCCCTCATGGGTCGACAAAGTGGATTTGAATTGTGAAGCGTTTTACGAGAGTTTAAACGATACGTGATAAGCTAAAACCGTTTCGAGGTGATGCGGAGTCGCGAAGACTAGTCGTGGGGAAGGAAACCTGTCGCTCTTTAATCGGCCTGGCCATCCGTGAAATTGCCATGACCTCCGTGAGCGGATCAAAGTTTAAGGACCAACAACGCTATGTCGATGTCGAGCATGACCAAATTGTAGTGACTAAGTGTATTCTAAGGTATACCGTGGTTTACTTAAAGTCGGCCACAACTTTTGATGGTTAACATAGGTAGTACAACGCGGGCTGACAAAGGAAAAGATAAGGTAGAGTGGCTAATGAGCAACGAGCGGATAATGTGGATGTTAAACAGATTGAAAGCATCGTGCTCTAAGCGATTACTCCTACGAAGGAGGAACGAATTTGTTCTGAAGGTGTGCAAACTTAGTTTCTGGGTAAGGCTCAGAAGTGAGTCTGTACTGGGCGATCAATGGCCACGTAGAGTCCGAGAGATGACGAGCGGCCTACAAGTCGACCGGATGCGATCTCTTTTCAAAGCCATGAAACCAATAAAAATGCGAAGAGGGCAAGCAAGTGCCAGGAGAAGGGGTTCTAGAATATTTCAATGTCACATTGATGAACGGCCATCCCTGCGAAGATCTGACCGACGATCCGACGCCACGCAAAAAAAGCCCTACTCAGCTGTTTCTTCCGAAAATTGTAGTACAAGGCTACGAAGGAGATTGGGTGGGCTTGATCCGTCGAGATCCAGAGGCAGTGGGTATCCTCATAGAGCGCCTGAGCATGCTCAGTCTCAAAAGTCGTGTATGCTTCAGCTAGTTCAGCGAACCAGCCGACCACCTTGAACGACACAGGAGGAAGAGGGAACTTCAGCCAACTAAGGTTTCGCGGCCAGAAGGCTCCCGACCATGGGCGGAGTGACCAGCAAAGATTTTCACTTTATTAGCCGATCAAAACCCCACCCGGCGGACCGAACCAACCCCAAGGAAACTCCAATTGTTCGGCCAGGTCACATTGCGTCATGGTCACGAGCAATTATGTGTACACCAGACCGAAAGACCAAGGATTCAATTTTCTGGTGGTGAAGACCCTCGCCCAAGTCGTGGCCGGATTCATGGCCTCTTGCGGGACCAGGTACATGATGGATGACGAAACGGAACTGCGAGCCGCTGGGTGGTCACCCTCCTTCTGAGTTGGCAGCTCGGTCTCGGAACCGGACGAGCCGAACAAGATCTTGGTGAAATACCTAGGAATGAAGCACTCGGCATTCGTGTCGGGCTGCAAGGGATAGAGGAGACAGAGTCTTTGGCCGACGACTGGAAGACCGAGATCTTGCCACGGTAGCCTGGATCGGTACGCTGTCGACACCGAGAATCACATCGTAAGATGTCTAGACGATCGGCGATGCAGCTTTCATAGAACCCTTGGAAACGTCTTTCCCACCATCGGAGCGTCCGGCGCGTACACCTTCACCCGCTTAGCCGGTTGGGCTGAAGTACGAGAAGACATTCGCAGAGTCCTATTGCCGGCGGCGGGAGCTGGGGGTCGATCGTCCGTGTTCGAGTCTTGTAGCGGCAGTTGAGCGACACCAGGGCTACCCCTAAGAAGTTCGCCCGAGAAATCAGAGTGGCTGAGATCTTCCACGAGAAGGAACATCTGACTCTGACGAAGGCCGACTTGCTGATTCCAGTGGTCGGTCAGCACTATCTCATACTGCAGCTTTTCGCGAAGCTGCGACATGAAAGCGCTGAAGTCATCTAACTCCCGTATTAAGCGCTCACATTGAAGAGACCAGTAATGCGGTGACAGGGACATCAGCAGAATCGACCCTCATAGGCCTCGACATGGCGGGACAATGACACCACATCAACGGGTGGTACGCTTATTAGATGACGGACGCCGACAAGGTCCTTCTGTGGGGCTGAGTCAACATCTTTGGGAGTGGCACGGACAGCATTCACTACTGGATCGACCCCAAACCAACGGTTATCGGAGCCGACGCGATCTGTGACGAAGTCGACAGCGTGGTCTTGGCAGCCTCTCCTGCGTTCACCAACGATGACGAATCTGAAGAATCGAAGACGACAGGCTATGCTACGACTGCGTCCGCCTGAGCAGACCTCTGCCGAGGGGGCAGGTGGTGGTAAAGGAGTCGGAGCCGATACCTAAGACGGTGAATCAGATCCCGGTAAAGATATGGCTGCAAGCACGCAGGTTGACAGTGACAAGATATCAGCCACAAGAGAAGGTGAAATTACGGGTCTGGTATAGTAAAGACATGATAGTGCACAAACCGCTGTACGGTCGAGCAAGTGCAAGGGGCGGCCGTGATCAAGCGATTATCAAAAATTTTGGACTTAAGAGTCGATGATCCGGACGGACATGGGACGTCGCGGCCGAGAAAGGGACCGAAGACTTGGGGTCACAGGTTAGGAGCGGCTGTTGGGTTCAACCGTGCAAGCGATTAAGGTTACTACCAACGGGGTCAAACAGACCGACGGATCAGTTAAACGGTACTGATATAAATCGTCCTCAACCACTCGCCGGTGGGCTTGGTCGCCCAAGGTGGACCCCAGTTCCCCGTAGGCCGACCTGGTAACCCATCGGCCGACCTGGTCTCCCATAGGTTTACTTGATCCCTTAAGATCTGAAGGCTCCTAGCCTTTCATCATTGCGAACCCAGGTGCAAGGCAGAAACAGAGTAAAGGAGTTGAAGATAAGATGACATTAAATACTACCCAATTTGCGATCTATGTAGCACGACGTGTCGAGTGCCAAAACAATTGTAAGTCTACCGACCTGTTCCGGGCCAGGAATCTGCTTGCTCCACGCGTCAAATCGACAGTTGTCAGTAAGGCACAAGCGTAAGTAGAACACCAGAAGCATTGTCATGTGGGTTCGTAGAGTATCACCTCCAACTCAAGCCCGCGATAGGAAGCGGTCTCCACACCCTGGTGGTAGGGGGAGAAGACACATCAAGGCCAGGCGCCACCAGCACCTGAGACAAGTAAAGGCCAGGCACCACCAGCACCTGACACAACTGGTTTCAAGTCCGCTCTCGACCAAGTCGATCAAGTAACCGCCTACATTGGACTCGACCGAAGCACATCCGCTAGGGCTCCCCCCAGGTCGACCTCCATCAAGGCCGACCTCTACATCATCACAAGTCCTCCGAAGAGTGAAACCCGCCCAGCCGACGGGCACACAAGGTGTAACGGGGCACCCTGAAGCTTGTACTGGTGACAGTACAAGCTACTTATTCTGATAACAGAATAAGGCGGTGCCTCGTAACTTCACGTACACTCGTACGTGCAGAGGAAGACGGTAAGAAGAAGCGAGTACTTGGTTAGAGTAAAAAGTAGAACTGTATTTATAATAGTTAATGTCTGCAATAAATCACTATTTATCTTCATCTAACTATGTCTAAATACAAATGTGTAAATCAGTTATCTGCTCACCACTCATTGCGTGCGTCTGTCGTGGCGCGTCTTCGTTGGTTGATATAATGGCCTATATCAACCAATTAGGAACTACTTGGAAGTGCTACAGAATATTGTCCTTATGACAATATTCTGAGAATATAACTCTTATAGTTATATTCTATTAACAATTTCTTATAAATTGTTATGTAACGATTCACCCCGTTACATCACCCCCCCTTAACCATCAGTCACTTTAGTGACTGATTGACTAAATGGATACTCGTCCCAAATCATTTGGGACGGGGTTTTGCACTTGTTGGTCCGCGTCCACTTTCCAACATCTCATCGCATGGTAAACAAGCCCATGCGATGCGCGAGCAAGGCCGCCGAGAGCGCGTCTGCACGTCTCTGTGCGGACGCCGAAGCAGAAACTACAGCAACTGATGTCCCATCGGTTGCTGAATCGACTCAGCCTGTATCACCTGGTGATGCAGGCGCTGGTCATGAAGACACTCGTGTCTTCACAGAGTACGAGCTCGGTGTCTCGTACTCTCCTGATACGGATGACGGATCCGTATCGACGGCAATTGAATCCAAGCCGCCTGCCAAGCGTGGCATGGACGATGCTTTGCGTCGCAGCATCTTTGGTTCATCTGATGAGTCAGATGAACCATCGCCAAGCGAAGGCGCTCGAGGTCGCGAGACTCGGGCGCTAATAGTGGTGTCGTTTCTCCAATGGACACCACTTCACAGCCAGTGCCAGTACTTCTGTCGGCACGTCGCAGGAAGAGCGGGACCGCAATGTGTTGCGTCTCGCTCCAGAAAAGAAGGCATGGATGCCTCCTAAATCTGTCATGGATCACTTGTCGGCGACGACGAGTGATCGTTATCGAACACGATTGTTCGATTCGTCGAGGATTCATCACCTTGACCCCAGCGCGAAAGACTATCGCGCTGAACATGAAGTTCTTCATCGATGCTTTCTTCAGACATCGATGGTACAGTCGGGAATCACAAACGTGATGGTCCCTCACTACTTCAGGCGTGGAACGCCTACATCCATAATCTCGAGGATGTAGGTCGTGACGCTTGGAACGACAAACTTATCAAAGCTCGTGATAAGTTTGAAAAGCGAACCCCGACAGGTGCACGCTACAAGCTGCATCGTCTGTCAAGGGAGAAAGGATTACCCTGCCTCTCTTGGGGAGACTCGTGCCCATGTTGTGTGAACAACTCTGCACGAGCACCTAAGGAGGCTTACCTCCTTACCAGCCCGTGGTGGCGCGTACGTGTCTCTACTGAGATGTACGAAGGGATTGACAACCTGAAATCCCTTTACGACCGTGCCGGGAAGACTTTCTCCGGCGGTCCTTCTGCGGCACAGGATGTGTCGCGTCGTACTGCTCGACCAGACCCAGTACGTCAACCATCAATTGGGAGCAGGGCTCCCAAGAATCCCAGGACGGGGGATAGCCGCGCCACCGGACGAGGTAACTCGTCCGACGTCCGTTCACGTCGCGGTGGTTCAACAGCTGCTCAACTAGATAGCGCTGGCCACCGCGAGAGTCCTCTAATGGAGGTGGAGGAGGAGGAAAGACGCTCTCCACACGATCATGTGGATCGGTGTGTTCCCGAGAGCTTCTTTGATCGCGTAACGCAAGGGTTACGCGACGATCTCGAGCATGAGCGGAATAGGCGTCTCCAGATGGTGGACACTGCCTCGAAGCATCGAGCTGAGTTTGCCTTTGCTCAGCTTGAGAACGAGAGATCTCTGACATCTCTTCGTGACGAGCTAAGGGTAGCTCGTGGGATTGTTGATCGGTCTCAGGCTGAGATAACTGCTCTTCAGACCCTTGTTGATGCCCACCATCAGGAGCACAAGGCTCTCTGCGAGATGCTTGAGCGCAAGGGCGTTCTTCATCGGAAGAAGCAGCGTACTGATGGTACGGCTTAAGCCGACCAACGTAAAACGTGGGATGCGTTCGCATCTTACGTGGTAACTCGATCGTGTATGCATTGCCTAGGCGGTGCAATACACGAAATGGACCAATGTACTTGGGTAGTAGTTTACTGCTACCCAAGTTAGTCACTACATGCTTTGGTAGATTAACCGTAGACAGTAGGACTAAGTCACCTTTATTAAATAAAGAGTGTTTGCCCTTCCATTCTTGTCAGCGTTTTGCTTTTGCTTATCCACCGCTTCGGCGATGGAGTCTTGCACAAAACGGACTACCGTTTCACGAGCCAGTATGAACTCATCCTGATGACTCGTTAGCTTCAGTGTGCTGTGAGCGCACTGCAGCGACAACAACCTTTTCTTCAGTGAGGGCTTCCGCACTCTCACTGGGATCATTGTCTTCAGTGAGGGCTTCCGCACTCTCACTGGCATCATCTTCTTCGATATCGATGTTATCGATATCGGCATCAAACGCAATGACTTCTTCGTCAGAGCGTGATGAGCGTGAACCAAATCGGTTTTTGCTCGCGCGAGTCCCTCCCCCCTTAAACCAGAGTTACACTCTAGTAAGGTGGGTACACGCGGATGGCGCAAGCCATTCACGTAAAACGGTGTATGTGTCGTGGACGCATGCACCGAGTTGTTGATGGCAAACTCTACCATCGGCAAAAACTCACTCCAACTCTTAAAGGAGTGTACGTATCCTCGAAGTATCTCTTCAAGGACACGATTGGCACGTTCCGTCTGACCATCTGACTCTGGATGATCAGATGTTGACATCTTCAAGCGCGTTCCGAGTGATTTGAACACGGAACGCCAGAAATCAGCAGTGAATCGTGGATCTCTGTCTGATACGAGTTCACGGGGCAACCCATGAAGTCGGAAGATGGTGTCAATAAAGACACAAGCACAGCCACTTGCCGTGATTGTCTCTGGTACAGCCACAAGGTGTACCATTTTGCTGAATCTGTCAACAAATACGAGAATACCCGTATTCCCGCGTGCGTCTTTGGGTAACCCGAAGACGAAATCCGATGAGATGGATTCCCAGCACTCAGCCGGAACCGGTAGAGGCTGTAAAGGTGCACGCAGTGAAGGACTTGACTTCACTCGTTGGCAGACTTCGCATGCGCGAACATACTTTCGCACAAACTGATACTGGCGGGGCCAGTAAAAGTCTCGACTTACCGTGAGATATGTTTTCTCTCGGCCACGATGTCCTCCTATAGGAGCATCGTGATACTCGAACATGATCCGCAAACGCAGATCAGTATCATCTGGAATGACAACACGTGGTGTGTCACCAGAAACGGCTGTATAGTACAGTAAACCGTTACGAGTAGTGTATCGATCTGATGCAGATCGATACGCGAGACGACAATCGTTTCAACGATTCTCGAGATGGTTGGGAGAGATGTGACAACAACTTCACTATCTCACCATCTTGGGCGTATGCCCGCCTCACATCATCATACAACGTTGTAGATGGAACTGAGGACGTCATAACCGCAACAGTGACTGTCTCACTGTTGGGTTTCGCGACTGTTTCAAAGTCGGGACGACGTGAGAGTGCATCAGCGACGACATTAAGTCGTCCTGGTTTGTACTCGACCGTAAAGTTGTATTCTGCAAAGAATGACAACCACCGCGCCATTCGTTGTGAAAGGTGCGGGCTGTTCACTGCCGTGCGTAAGGACGCATGGTCAGTGTAAACAACGAAGGGGTCTATCTCCTAATAGATAGACTCTGAACTTCGCGAGTGCATACTTCATGGCAAGGAGTTCCTTGTCATGCACTGGATAGTTCCGCTCAGCTGGTTGCAGCTGACGCGACTGATAGCAGACGACGCGTTCAACGCCTTCAAGATCGTACTGCATTAATGCACAGCCGATTGCGAAATCGCTGGCATCACAGACCACATGAAATGGCCTGTCCTGATCGGCTATTGCTAGGACTGGGGGATTGTATCAAGCTCTGCTTGATACCCTCAAAGGAGCGTTGACATTCAGCGTTCCATAACCACCTCTCGTTCTTTTTCAGCAAACGAGAGAGGTGCACAGTCATCTCGGCGTAATTGCGTGAATACTTATGCAAATACGCCGCTAGCCCAAGGAATTTTCGAAGACCTTTGACATCAACCGGCACAGGCCAGTCGGTGATCGCCTTGATCTTTTCGGGATCAGGACGTACACCGTTCTTACCAACGATGCACCCAAGAAGTGGTATTTCGCTTGCTGCAAATATACACTTCTTGAGGTTTACATACAATTGATGCTTTCGCATGATTGTAAGAACTTGTCGGACGTGGTACTTGTGAACCTCAACGTCCGACTTTCCATCCATAGCTCGACTATGGATGAATACGTCATCGAAATAACTCGGCGCGAATTCTCGTACTGGCCTCAACAGATGTGATACACATCTGTTGAACGTGGCAGGGGCATTACTGAGCCCTTGTGGCATTACTAGCCATTCCCAGAGCATGCCGCTAGGCGTGCTAACTGCGGTATAGGGTATATCCCGTTCCCGCATTAGGATTTGATAGAAGCCATCCATCAAATCCATGGACGAAAAGATGGTACTCTTTGACATACCATCAATGATTACGTCCTTCCTCGGTATCGGCGTCTGAGCCGGTACCGTTGCAGCATTCAATTTGTTAAACGCGTGCACTATCCGCCACCCTCCTGTTGCTTTTCGCACACAGAAGGTCGGAGAGCTATGTGGGGAAGTTGATTCCCTCACATGGCCCGCTGCTAAACGATCGGCAAAGAACTTGTCGATCGCAAGTACTGTTCACGAGGCAGTGGCCACTGCTTCATGACACAGTACTTCGAGCCTGGTTTAAGCTCGACTTCGTGTCGAATACCTTTATCCTTCGGTAATTCGCACGGAACAGTTTCAGGGAATACATCCTTGAATTCAACCAAATCTTCATAGAGAGGATTTTCCTTGAGCGATTCCCATGATTGGGACTCATATCGCTCAATTCGTGTCTTTTCATCTAGGACACTCTCGTCCATAGATGAACTACTGAGAACTCTCTCGTTCTCAGTAAACACTGTTGCTGACCTTATGTCGGTTACATACTCGTCGTCAGCGACGAGTATGCAGATCTGCTTGACTTTGCCACTACGCAGATCACGCAAGAATCTTTTATGTTCGAGCGTTGGCAACTGAGTGATCTCCGAAGTTAACTTCGGAGGCGCAATCAGATCAAGTGTATAAGCGCCTACACATGATCCGTTATTGACTATGACATTCAATGTCTCTGTCATTTCCTGGGGACTTATTCCCTCAGGCTTCGAAGGACTTATTCCTTCGTCTTCCCGGGGACTTATTCCCGCGGGTTTCGGGGAACTTATTTCCGCCGTATTTGTAATCTTGGGACTTATTCCCTTTACTTCCTCTAGCTGGGGTTGCGCAACCACAGCGAGATCCTCTACGAAAGACTCTCCAGTCGATCTAGGATTATCGTTTCGCTTAACCTGAGCGATCGATTGTTTCTCTTCTAGATGTTCCCCTCTAGGGATACATCTTTGTCCCAGTCCACCCGACTTATTCGAGTGGTGGACCTTCAGCGCAGCCTGTGTTTCCCTCACAGCCGCCGGAACTTTGCTCGAAGTGTAACCGTTTGGTACACTAAGGTTTTGTGCAGTCGTACTAACGACCGTACCACAAGTGAGGCCATCGCACTCACTCGTAGTACATCCACACGCTTGTGGACGCTCCAAAACGTTCATCAGATGGCCATCTGATGAACAAGCGGCAGAGCATCGTTACTGTCCGATGTTGCCAGTTTACCCGTGGTTCGTACCTTCTGAGCCACGGTATTCCAAGGATGACATCAAATTTGTCATCCAAATCCAATACGATAAAGTCATCGTCGTATTGGGTATCTTCTAGCGTATAGTGAATCTTCACTATACGCTTCATGACGGTTACGGATGCGCCTGTCGCAAGACGTACCGTCATCCTCGTAGGAGGTGTGTCACATTCACTGAATTTAAAGTGACCATCTTCTAGCGATTGGCGTCGCACAAAATTGTTGGACGCCCCACAATCGACTAGAGCTCGAAGGGACAACTTATTCGTCACTTCGAGTTTCAAGGTAATGAGTGAGATCTCATTACCTAGAGCAGCAACGCACAATGTCTGTGTGTTGGGAGCAACCTTCATCAAGAGGCCTACAAATTCTCTTGACGTTGCTGGATCAGTAGGGTGCTCCGCACCTACTGATCCTGTCCGTTTTTTGACGGTCCATCCCGTTGTTGCGTCTTTGCACCAACTGCGGACCCTCGTCCCTGCCCCTTTCTCATGGGTGGACGGTCACTACGCCCAGTGTCGCGAGACACTGGACGAGGGGCACTACACTCGTAAGCGTAGTGTCCTGTCTTTTGACATCTGTTGCATCTCTGCAACTTCTTGTAGCAGGCCCCCCCCCCCCCCCCTCCCCCCTCCCCTCGCGCGACCGCAGGCTGATGTCTTCTTGTTCCGTATACGCTATCGCCCTTTCCAGCGTACAGAAGTATTCTCGGAACGTGTAGGTCTTCACCGGCCCATCCACAAGGCCGTAGATGAACACGTTGATGAGCGTGTGCTCATCAACAGGGTTCTCCGTGACGCTACTCGCAAGGTAGAGCGGGTGCTGTGCGTAAGCGTGCACGTCACGCTTACCTTGCTTGAGCCTCAAGAGTGCAGAGCGTGCTCTGCACTCGGCTCTCGGCGGCTCAAACGTCTCTTTATGCCGAGCCTTCAAGGTCTCCAGCGACTCAAACACGTTTGGGTCGTACAGATTGAGCCCTAAGGCCCAAGTCTTTGCTCGTCCCGTCAAATTTGACAGGGCGAAGGTGACTTGCACCTCGTCACCCTCGATGTGACGGGCTCTGATGGCATTGTCTAACTCGACGAACCATCTTAAAAGGGAATCCTCATCGGTTCCCTTCTACCTTGAGATATCAATCTTCAAGGTTTCGGGTCGACGCATGTGCGTCGGCCAGCCCATCGACTGATGAGAGCCTTGCTGCTGTAGCAAGGCTCTCATCAGTCGTTCGACGGCAAGTTCCCCTTTCAGGAACTTGTTGATAGCAGCATGTTGCTGGTCTCTGCTTAGAGACTTCAACACGTCACTGATGGCGAGTTCGCCCATAAGCACACTCATGCGGCCGACTACCTCCCATTCTGAGTCACTCAGATGGGAGTAGCCTTCACGTGTGACGTGCAAGCTGTCGTCTTCTACGTCCAGCACGTTCATGTTGGACGGACGCTAAGCTGTCGTTGGAAGGACTACGAAGTGCTACCAGGTGTAACGGGGCACCCTTTGTTTGGGGTGCCGCGAAACTTCACGTACACCAGTACGTGCAGAGGAAGCTAAACTACTTGAACGACTCGGTCAAGTAAAGGTAAAAAGAGAACTGTATTTATTAAAGTTAAGCTATCAATGTAACTATAATCTTTATCTAACTATTTCAAACTACGCCGTCGTATGACGACAACCTGCTCACCACTCATTGCGCGCGTCTAGCAGCGATCGGTGGCAATCTATGGTTGATATGTCTTATATCAACCAATCTTGGAGCAGCGCATGATTATTATCCTAAAAGGGATCACATTACTTCAATATTATCCATCTCGGATAATATTGGTAGAATATTGTCATGCTAGACAATATTCCAATTGACGCCGTTTGGTGTCAATCTCATGTAACGGGCTACCCCGTTACACACCGTCAATGTAAGTAATTACTACATCTGATCCAAGTGGTGTCCACGTGGTCAATAAGGGTGTCCACGTAGTCAGTCTATTGGGTTATACTGCCGGCGACAGAACACCAAGGTAGAGGCGGTCGAGTAATTTTCTTTGTGGGTTTGTATCAATTTGAGCAAAATAAATCCTACTAAGCTAATACAGTCGACAATCGTTTCCAACCTCGAGTCCTTGCAACGTCTACAAAGCTTGCACATACTTCGAAGAGACAACACGCATCAACTAGTTCACGAAATCACCAGTAGCGTTCGTATGCATAAGCGTTAACGTCGGTCAATTTCGCCTGCACGGCACCAGGAAGTTGTTAGATGTACTGTTTTTTCATGGCACATCGACGGCGAGACCTGTACAGGGCAAGTGCGCCCAAATTAGATGGACTAAGTATTTAGAGGCGCTGGGATACGCGACGCAACAACGGATCGCATAGTGCGACCTGATGAGCTAGCATCAGATGATGAACGAGCCCGAAATGCTCTCTACCGCGTGCATGTCGTACGACGTGATTATCGACGATAAACACAACTTACTACCACTTCTGACTACTTCTGCGGCAGCGCATCCTTTTATTTTACAAACATACGCTCATTGCAATGGATGATACTGATGGTGAAATACATTGCTCCCGTCTGGATAAATTATACGCTCCAGATAGATGCAAAGTGGATAGTCGGAACAAGCGTGTGGTCTGTAGATTTAGGAGCTCTTTTCTAGCCATTTGTATCATTAGTCAAGGGCGATGCAACCACCATCTGCGACTAAGAGGGGGATTTTAGGTTTCACAGGAACGACGACGGATTTGTCGATACTGAGGCATGATAGGCGAAACGACGCGCAGCCAAGCATTTGCAGAAATAAACTGGGGCTTAGTTGCTACACAGTGGCGTGCGCAGGGTACCGCTGCTGACGTGGTGACGGAGAGCACCATTGAACTGTTTATGGCAAAATGTCGTTATTCAAAGCAGGGCCAGCAAGCCAAAGTTTGGAACTGCGCTTTGGTGGATGGCAAAGGTTTTAACACATGAGGTACACTTCGGTGTAGATTTTTGTTGGCATATGTGTGGCCATATTAGACTGCGGCATTGCGTGCCCAGCTTGGCTGCAGCTGCGCTATGCGCAAGGAGGTGTGGCTAACCGACATGTCGCGAGTTTGCATGTCGCTAGGTTGATTATCGGTCGTAAACGCTCTTACTCGAGGTGATTCGATAGCCTATGGTCATTCAAGCCCCCATTGAGCGGAATTCAGCGCTCGGGACCATTACCAACAATTTTTGTGCTTTAAGAATAGTGTGGCGTGATCGTGAGGCAATAGAGACGCGCAAAGCTCCGACTTCAGTTTGCAGCGCTAAACCGACTTCGGTCATCGAGGCATATCACACACGTTGCTACGGACCAGCGTGCAGTTGTGGCATCCTAACACGCTCCTATTTGCCGCGCATGAAGACCGATTTGCTGTAGACCGGGTCAATCCTTCTTTCGCGATTGTTCAAGCTCCGAGGACACTTCGAAACTTAGTGCCACGTGCAAATCTGATGTTGTCTATCGTGCCGCCAAGGTGCACGTGCATCTGGTTCGTTCACGACAGGACGCCGACACGACTCTGGTGCACCTGACGATAAAGTCGCTCAAAGTTACTGCACTGATCGATACGACCGTCTCCTTTACAATCGTGCAGCAAAACGATTGTCACAGAAAAGACGTGGTAGGCACGTGTCCTAGATTCTGGTTTCCCGTGGGCCACCACCACTTGGCGAAGACCTGGTGTCTTCGTCGCTCTTTGGACTTTCGGGTTACTGGCGACCGTCTGATTTAAATCATGTTTAGCTGCTGCGATTCGTTGGGAGCCGATGAAGGATGTTTTATCAGCTATTGCTCACTCGTATCTCACACGCCACACTGTCGTGATCAAGAGATGTATCCGCACGCGAGGTAAACGCATGCGAGGTGATTAAACAGTTAACAGGTAGAAGATGTTAAACCATGTTGTCGTAATATGCAGAAGTGAGTTGGAGAACACCGAGACGGTGCGGCTTACACGCGAAGATTTCTTGATCACTTGTGAAGCTACCACTTTACTGGATACTTACCAAGTCAGTGGTGTCTGTATCTCGATTGATCGCAAAAGCGAGCACATTGGTCATTCTGACTGCCAATCAAGGAGCAGCAAGGCTAAAGCAAACGTCCCAGGGGATGCCCTCCAAGATCTTATACTGGTACTCAGGCTGCCGTCATGAGATATACAATTTGGTGGACGGGGCGATGTTCAAATATCGAAATTTATTCCGCTGTGGTGCCTCGTTTGCAGCTTGTTAAGCGCTTTGAAGTCGATATGCTGCCCAATGAGAGGCGACGATCACTCGCTATTGACGTGTCGCAATCGTTGAATCGACGACGTGCATTCGCTTTGCAAATCGCGTCATTATGAATCGTGCTTTGTAGCAACTATGACAGGGAACGGAGTCAGCGATGCAGCTACTACGACAGTATCAAGGCCAGGACGGGGGCCCACACCAAGAGCTGATTGGCTGAGTAGCCCGCCTTTCCTCCAACTCCTTCTTTAAGAATCCCTCGAGGGATGACACTCCTCCTCTTTTTGATCGCACCAATTGGATTGTAGCACCAAGATACCCAACCCTTCTTCCCCTCCCACTCCATGTCTTGTTTTTAGTAAGGGACCCTTCCAACTTCATAGAAAGTCCTGCCTTCACATGCCACCCGTCCTTTGCTCCCACGAGATGTTCCGAGCGTCATTCCGCAGTTATTCCCCCGAAGAACAAGCCAGAAAAAGGAAACGAAGGAACGCGCAATGCGGCCAAGAAACGCGCTGCTGCTGCTGGGTCTAGCGGCGGCTCTGGCCCTTGCGAGCGCCGAGGATGACACGTACGCTGTCCACAACGGAATGGACGCGGAGACGCCGTTCTTCGGTGCAGACGAGCGCGATCCAAGCCGGGGTCTTGGAGAGGCGCTGTCGAGCTTACTGCAGGCAGGAGAGCCCGAAGAGACTGCGGACATCGTCCGCATCATCGTGATTGACGAAGAAGATCCAGCGGCAGCACGCAAGAGAGCGTGCTCGAAGGCGCTGGCGGTGATTAAGGAGCAGGACGAGCCGTTTGAGCAGGCGGACAGTCTCCTGCGAGACTTTGAGTCGGTGTTGGGTCTGGACTCGCCGGAGCCTCGAAGCCGAGCGTCGTGTGAAGATCTCGGCCTGGCGGAGCTGATGGCACAGGTGAGACAAGAGCAGTTGGAAGTGGGAGGGTGTGAAGTGATGTCTGATTTGTTGGGTGTGTTTAGTGCGAGTTTGTGGTCGAGTCGAAAGACGTGGTGCTACAGCTGTCGCGTCAAGGCCGGACGGAGGACCAAGTGTGCGACGTGATGAACGCTGTCTCGGACTTGAAGGCGGTGGACACACTGTCGTGCGGCTTGTGCCATCGATTGGTGCAGATGGTGACTCAAGCGCTCACGAATGAAGTGCAGCAGGTTGAGCAAGTGCGGGAGATTATCGGAGACGTGTGTGACGTGACGGTGGCTGACTCCATGTGCCACACGTTCCTCAACAAGTTCGACGATATCGTCGAGTGGCTAAGGCATGGCACAGACCCGGTCGTGGTCTGCTTGCGACTTGCTATGTGCCCGGTGGACAGACTCAGCAGCAGCGAGACCCCGATCTTAGGCTGGGTTTTTGGCAATGAAGCTCGAGGGATTGCAGATGAGACTGCGACCACTCGTGATACTCAGGAGCGGAATAGCGTTAGCGACAGTGATTTGCTGAGCTTGGATTTGATTTTAGGTGATGAAGCCCGAAAGAGCGCGGATGACGCTGTTGCCGCTCGTTACTCTGAACAGAGGAACAGCGTCACTGACCGTCAGACCCCGAGTTTGGGGTGGTTGTTTGGCGATGAGGCTGCGGCCGCCCGTGATACTCAGAAGCGGAATAGTGTTAGCGACAGTGATTTGCTGCTGAGCTTGGATTTGATTTTTGGTGATGAAGCCCGAAAGAGCGCGGATGACGCTGTTGCCGCTCGTTACTCCGAAATAGGGAACGGCGTCAGCGACAGTGAGTTTACGTCCAACATGGACTTGATTTTTGGTCTCGAGGCTCGTAGGGCCGTAGATGACGGTATTTCTACATCTGTGCTCGAAGAACAGGACCATTCATGCTCATTTTGTGTGAGTACGGCTGGAGTGATTGCTCAAGTGAGTAGTCGTTTTCCTGATCAAGTGTTGATGTCGAAAGATCTATTGAAAAGTGTGTGTCGGACGGCTTCGCCTGTATCGAAGTGCCAGGAGGTGGAGGCTAACTTTGACCGTATTGTGGAGTTGATGCAGCAAGGCCACTACCCTCGGGAAGTCTGTGGGCGTATCGACTTGTGTACCCAACAAGCGACGAGTGACAAGGCGTGCGTGTACTGCGACGCCGCAACTACTCTCGTGGAGGTAATTTTGCAAGAAGCTCCGGAGCAGATTAATGAGATTCGAAACTACGCCGATATGATTTGCGACATTCTGGGAGACGATAGTCCCTGCCATGAGTATGTGACCAAGTTGGATTCGGTGATTGATTCCTTAAATAAGGGGGAGCGCCCTCGCGAGGTCTGTAAGGCGCTAAAGTATTGCTCGGAAGACTCTTCTGGGAAGTCAGGCGAAAGTCTTCGTGTTGACATGACGCGTAACGATCCTTTCGGACATAGTCGCCGTGTGGGCATGGGCGATGGCGGAATGTACTCTGACATGATCAGCCAGCTCAACGCGATAATTCTGGCAAACAATGACGAGCGTCTTTCTCGTCAACCCTCTATTGACTACGACAGCTGCTTTTTCTGTTCGCACGTGGTAGCTGTGGTTCACCACGTACAGCTCGTGTTTCCGGAAAAGCTGCCGATTGTGAAGACCATTTTGTCGAATGTGTGCCAGCTGGTGCCTTCAAAATGTAGCTGCGATGTCGTAGATGAGAAGTTCGACGACATTGTAAAATGGGACAAGGAAGGCAAGCGTCCCCATGACATCTGCAAGTTGCTCGGGAATTGTGCCAAGCTACAGGACAAGGAGGATGAGATGCCTGCCATCTCTGATGAGTTAAAGGGTGTGGTCATTGCTTCACAACGGCTTGTTGGAGATGAGTCTGAGTGCGCATATTGTCAATTCGCTACCACTGTCGCAAAAGTTGCACTTCAGCAGTACGGCGCCGACATTCGTCAAGTCCGCGCGTACGCTGACATGATATGCGATATGCTAGGCGAGGACAATCCGTGCCATGCGTACGTGAAGCAAATGGATTATGTGATTGACTCGATTTCAAAAGGCATGAGCTCCAAGGCAATTTGTGTGGGCTTGGAGTTTTGTCCTGCGGCGGTCGCTGACAGTGAAAGAGACGCTTTGGCGTGGATCTTAGCCGATCGCTCATCGCGCGCGACATCGATTGACCGTGTGTCCGCGTTTGATTCGCCGCTTGTAGAAACGTTGAAAGAAGCGATGGACCGGCCTAGCGACAGCTGTTCCTTCTGCATGCAGGCGGCGCCCGTACTCGAAGTAGCTGTCGCTCAAGATCCCAGTCAGATTGAAAAGATTCGCGAAAGTGTTGATGTCATATGCGGGATGCTTCCGGTTGATAACCAGGTACGGTGGTCCATTGTGCTATACGTCTGGTTGTAGATGCGCTAAATCACTCTTTGTGTGTTCCTTATTGCAGTGTCACTCGTTCGTGATGAAATTTGATGCTGTGGTCGATTCGTTGCGGAAAGGGGTGCAGCCAAAATTGATTTGCCACGATTTGCAGCTGTGTCCGATGGGCCCTGGGTCTGCCACGCATGACCTTGCAGTGCCTGACATGCTGGCTGTTCAGAAACGTGACGAGGAAAGCACCACGTGTGCCTATTGTAGTGGCGTTGTCACTGTGTTGGAGCACACGCTTAACGAAAAGCCTGAGCAAGTCAACGAATTGCGTGAGGTTACTGGGCACCTGTGTCAGCTAGTTCCTGCCGACGACATGGTACGAGACTTGTTTTTGTTACAACTTGTAAAGTTCGGCTTAACTAAGTTCATGGTGGATGTGATTTGGCATACGGTAGTGCGATAGCGATTTGAAGATGTTCGACGAAGCAGTGGCGGGACTGCGATCTGGGAAGGGACCTGAAGAGATTTGTCAGAAGCTAAACCTGTGTACATTCGTTGAAGATCGCAACGAGTCGTCAGGCCTGGTTGACTTCACAGGTGGTGATTTCTTACCCACTGGCTGTGCAACTTGCCAGCAGAATACGGTGTTGCTTGCCTCCTTGATCGAGCGCCCGGACAGCTTGGCTACGTTTGAACGCGAGATCAGTTCGGTGTGCCGCCTGATCCCCAGATCTGGAGAGGTAACTTTTGGTCCGAGCCTTGGTGCAAGCTGTGCGGTGTCTAACTGTGTATTGGTGTGTAAATGTGCCCAGTGCGAGCTCTTGCTGAAGCATAAAGATGCGATCATTGATTTGCTGAAGAAGAACGAAGATGTGGTCACCATCTGCACGCGCATTGGGCAGTGTCCTGCTGTCGCGAAGGAGGAAAAGCAGAAGTCGATGCCTGTGGGCTGCCTCTTCTGCGAGTTTATTGCTGATCTCGTAGAGCATGCCAAAGACAGTGAGAAGGCTCTGAGCGAGGCGAAGGCAACGCTTGAAACGGTATGCACTATATTGCCGCCACAAGCGCGTTGCGACGTTCTTTCTTCGAAGTTCGATGAGCTACTGTCGCTGATGCGTGAGGGCAAAAGTCCGAGTGAAGCATGCCACGCTGCAGCGTTGTGCGATGCCGAGTTCGTCTTTTCGCCCGCGTCGGACAGTGACGAAGACCCAATCGTGCGATCTTTCGAGAAAGCTCTGCGGGGTGTGGGCAACGTGATGGAGATCGAGTAACTGGCAGGCCCTCCGCACGACTCGTCTTGGCAGTTGCCTACAACTGATGGTTTTTTGCACCGCCGTGGCAAATTGATTGAGTGAATTAACATGTCTTGAATACAAGTATCTTTTGAGGTATGAAGTTGACAATTGCCTACGGAGCAGTCGCTCACCGCTGTGCAGACCCGATCCAAGACTTCTGGACGGCGCAGTCGTCAGGACGACGACGGCAGCCTGCGGACGCGCAGCGTAAATTCAACTCCTCATCGCCTTTACAGCCTCTCACCGTCTACATTTGTTTATCTGAGCTCAAGCAAGAAGACAAACGTGTCCAAGCGTCACGCAGAGTATTTATGGCGCCCATCCTGGCGCTGGTCGTTCGAGGTTTGGACATGTGGCAAATTAGGTTCCGGTAGAACGATGCTCGAGCTATGGGAGCGCAATAGTGGCGCCAGAAAGAAAGGGGTTGTGATGGGCTTTAGCATGAAAAAAAACTTCAGAGCACAACTATTTGGTAACGATGAAGCTGATGATGGCTTCGCGCATTGCGGAAACTCGTCACTCCATGTCGAGCTTGGAACCGGCAAAAGCGTAGTTTACAAGAACTTTGCACCGGAAATTGCACTCCACGGCAGTAGTCTAGATCTCGTGGCTAGTGGTCGATCAAGGTCCATCAACGCCTGCTATGCCAAGCATCACAGTCTTGGCTCACCCACTTTGACGCGCAAGCGCACATAGATCGCTATCGAGGTGGAGCATCCCATCAACGCCCTTCACAAGTTTGTAATCATGGCAACGAACTAACCAGGTACCAAGTATGGACATGCACCGCATCGCAACTAAGCAGATAAACTTGTGTTACGCCGTCTGCCCAGTCGACAATGGGCAGCAGGAGACCACCACAACGCAAGAGCTGCAGACAAACTGCGGCACACAAGACTGGACTGGCGAGAACGCAAGGTGTCAAGCCGTGTCCAAACACTTGAGCCGCGATGCCGTTCGCCAACGCCAACGACGACTCCTTATGCGCTTGCGATACTATTCTCAAGACGACTTTACTGCCGCAGGGCCTGAATTCGAGCACATCTGGTTGTATGAAGCTCCGTATACCGAATCCATCTATCGATGACATGAGCGAACTGCTGCAGTACAGAACCAAGCTCTACCAGCATCGAGCGTCTGTACATACTGGGAAATTGATCGTCAGATGAAGGTCATCGCGATACGCGATCACCGAATAGTAGCGGCTACTGCTCAGGCTCCACGCATGTCTCAACTTTTTAGTCAAGAGCCAAGGGAACGGCTGACATGTGCAGGCGAAAGATACGAATTCTTGACACACCTGGTGCATGCCCTGGCTCAAATTCTCTCGGACCGTCTCGCACACATTGAGCTGTAAACAGGATGATCATGCACTCTTTCGAATTTGCCAGGAAATCCATGTAAGTGATCCGCCACTTCAAGCTGTACCCGCTCTCTTGGCTAAGTGTACACATCAATCAATTTAAAGAGCCCCGCGACCTGCAAAACCGCAGTCCTCCGTCATCAGTCTGTGTATTTTAATCAACTTTCGCTTGTCACGTTCACCAACCATGTCCACGGCTCTGCTGCTGCTGATGCGGACGCTACGCGCTGCAGCACCAGGCGCTCGTCCCGTGCCTGCCGCGTCCACCCAGGTACTCTTCGCCTCCTCCTCCTCCTCCTCTTCTCCTGCTGCTAGTCGCCGCGCTCGTCGTGCACGTAGAGCCGCTTTTATGACCGACTCTCCAGCCACAATAGACCCTCGGACACCGCTCCTTGTCGCAGATATTGACCGCATCTCACGGAACGGACTAGCGCAGCGCGTGGAGATGCCAAAGGAAATGCTGGACCGTCTGACGACCGTCGTGCGGAGGCGCACGCACTCGCAGCTTGAAACGCTGCGGCAGAAACACGTTGGTGACCGTCGAAATACGCGCCAAGTGCCGCTGGACATGAGCAAAACGCCCGTTGGCTGGACGATGGACCAGACTCCACAGATCCCTCCTTTTGCCTATGGACCGAGTGAGACGTTGGCGTACTTGGCTTTTGAGATTGAAGCCACGTTCGCGTGCACTCACGCGGTGTTCACAGAGCTGCAGAAGCGACTGCCAGAGTTTGCACCAAAGTCCGTCCTGGATTTTGGAGCGGGTCCGGGTACAGCGTCGTGGGTGGCCAAGAGCTTTTACGGCCAATGTCTGGACAAGTATTGTGTCGTAGAGCCCAGTCAGTCCATGGTGGACGCTGCTGAGGTCCTGCTGGAAGACTTTGCTGGATTCAGTGTGCGTCGCAGCATTGCAGACTTGTCACGAGATATTAACGCAGGCAATAAGTACGACCTTATTGTCGTAGGTTACGTCTTCTCTGACATTACCAATGACTTTGAGCGAGTGGCGACAATGTCGGCGCTGTGGGAACTGCTTAGTGACAACGGGTGTCTTGTGGTCGTGGATCGTGGTAGTCCGTGGGGATCACACCACGTGCGATCGGCCCGTCAGTTCGTGCTTGACTTTGTGGCCGAAGAGGAGAACGAGAAAGAAGGCGTACACATTGTTGCACCTTGTCCGCATCACTTTGAGGTATGCTGTCGATTCGAAATGGAGTTTCTTGTCGCCTTGTTTACGAAACTAATTTGTTGATGTGTGTGTGTGGTCGATAGTGTCCTGCAGCAGGAAATACATGGTGCCACTTTGTCCAGCGCTCCCCTGTCGTCAATCGGCCACGGGAGGCCACTACTAAGCGTTGGCATGGTCAGAAGGGCTCCAAGTTCTCGTATGTGATCCTGCAAAAGACTCGTAAAAGTAGCGAGGAGGCTGACGCTGCTGAGAAGATGCCGTTTGCGCGCATGCTTCGAAGTCCTCTGCTTGCCACTCGTCACGTGCACCTGGACTTGTGTACTCCGGAGGTAAGATTAATGGTCGATTTCTGTAGACATTGCAATGTGCTTCCGACTGATACGTCAGTTTTGCACATGTCAAGGGAAAACTCAAGCGTCGCAGTGTTACGAAAGGCAAGGCTATTCGCGAGGTGTATCGCGCATCGCGAAAGGCGCACTGGGGAGCGGTGTGGCCAGCTGACGAGACGAGTTACCTGAAGGATAAGTAAACTCGTTGCTACTGACTGGGTGGCTATGAGGGGAGTGGATTTGAAGGGTCACGACTTCATGAGATTCAATGGACGTTAATACTGCTATAATGGCCCGTGCAGCGATGCTGAAGGCATTCGCCTTCGGCGTGAGTAATAGAGGGGCGCTGCGGACTGTGGTTCCACGAGACCGATGGTCTCTCAGATCAGGTTGTGGAGCTTGTACTTGTTCCAATTTGGACCATTCAATTGGCGGCAACACGAAGAATAGCAGCAAGATGAGACCGAGCTGTGCCGTTTCGATGACATCAAAACGACAGTGAGACCATTGACCGTCCTGTTTTCATTCCGGTAGTGGGAATCTCACGTGGCGGTACTCGTACTAGCCTCTCACAGCTTTATACTAGAGACGATGAGGAAATGAATATGTGGACCATGTTGTTGTGTCATAGCAGGTCCTACTTGCTTGTTTGTCTTGCTTGGTGAGCTCCTTAGGTTGACACGAGCTACGAGTAGCAGAGTCCGTTCCACCAATATTGTTGATGCAATGAATACACAACATCGTGCTCATGCAAAATGTCGGCTTAGCCTCATCAGCCCCTTCCACGAGCGTAGACCTGGTAGGTGCGACTGGCTGATCTGAACAGACACACAATGGGACCAGACGCTTCGCCAAGCTGGTCACGACGGTTTCTCACTGCGTCTATCTCTACTCAGCAGGGCCGACCTGAAGTTGTAGGACACGAGGCGAAATCCTCGAACGTGCAAGTGTCGTGGGCTTCGATGAGGCGGCGTACAGCGCAAAGTCCAGAAGCAACATCACAGTTTTCAATGCGAGGCAGAACGATCGAAAGTGTCGACACACGTTGATAAAGCTACAGAAAGACTCTGCAAGACAGAGCAATCTAAAGACGACGTCGTGCTAGTCGTCTTGACATCGTAATGAGGCGTATGATCGACCGATGCGCCTTGTGTGGCGGCTACAAAACGATTCGACGCGGCGATCGCAACAGTGCACTTTTGCTGCACTTATTGCTCGAATGCAAAATGACTCTTGCGTATACCACCAGAAGATGGCTCCTGACGAGTCCCGCACCAGTCGGTACGAGCTAGCTGAACCATCCGACAGTTTCCGCTGTCGAAGCTTCTTCACGCGGCTGTCATGCTTCTAACGTGCCAGAGTTCGAACAATTCGTCAGCGTGAAGCACGCAGACCCGAACGACTGCGCTACCCATCAGATGGACGCGTCGCAATTTCGAACAATAAGTGTATTTTACATGCCGAATATCATTCGAATTAAAACTGCGATGCTAATTTTGAATAAACAGAATTACGTACTTGTGCTGTGTCGCAATTCTCAGTACCAATCAAATGTCGGACTGTCAAAGACAAACGCGCTCACAAAAGCATCTTGAGCAAGGAACAATATTGCAATATTCCATTGATTGGTTTCGATAGCTACTCTTTCGAAATCAAGCCCGACAATATCACCACAAGGTCATCGCAATATACTTGCTTTAAACGCGCGGATCGTGCACCCAGTCGCTGCATCAATCCGATGCTAAACTCGTCCTTGCCACCTCGCTACTGTATTTGTACTATCGAAAGCCGACACTCTCCCGTCTTAGATCAAGACCGTAGATCTGTGCATGAGAATGTCACCTGACGACAAGCTCGGCGTCGCATCGCTTGCAACAGTTTCGGGGCGAGAACCCATGCGCTCAAAGATGAGGCGACGCAGTCCAGCGTAACAAAAGGCGGTCGGGGGTGCCTAGTGGGACAATGAAGACGGCGCGATGTTTCGTGGTGGGCAACGGCATTGTGCAGGTCCGTCACAGATACACTACGATAGACAAGAGCGCGGCCACTGGAGGTGACATAATACAGGTGTCAACATGGCACCACCGTTAGCAGCAGGGCAGCCGGCCACGTACTGTACGATAGGTCCGCCCCGTAACGCTCTCTACACACCAGAGCCCGTCTCTTGCATCATGAAAGTAGTCTCACTTGACAAGGCAGAACCCCGTGTCAAGTTCCATGGTTTCGCAGCAGACGTTGCCGCAGACACCGTCGCCGTCGACGATCGCTGGCTCCTACTTTTTCGTGCTCTCTCTCTCTCTCTGTGCCAACGATTCGGACCAGCGGATCCTCTACACTGATCCTACGACTTGGCGTTCTTCGTTGAGTACAACGTCGCGCTGCGGATCCCTAAAACCAACTGCCGCGTAGAGACCAGACGCTATGAGATACACCAAGAGCCGGGATTCGGCGGTCATCTCGTCGTCGTAGGATCAAGCCGGCGAGCTACCGTGTGTACTTGTCGTTTGCAACTTCAAAGTGTCTCTGCTCCGCCAAGCCAGCGCAACTAATGCTGTGCACTACTCAGATTGTACAAAGCTCACAGAGAGACCGATGGCGCTGCGAATGTATCCAGCAGGTAGACCACACACACTAATGCATTCGGCAGCCTCACACTTCCTTCCCGTCGTCTGTACAATCACTATGTTTACTGTGCGACCCGTGTGGGCCCTTCTATTTGCCACGTACGTCGCGACGGGACCAGCGCGTGCAATCCTGAAGTGCAGGGCCGTGCGCTCTCGTCGCAGCCGCGTCAAAGTGGCCACGGTCGACGACGGACGAAGCAGCCAAAGCAAGTGGTTGATTTGCAACTTGTAGCTTTGGACGAAACGGGCTATCCACGAGCTTGAAGATCGGGCACAAATTTCGAGCCATAAGAGACAGCGAGAGCCCGCGCGTGCAGAAGCAGTGCTGTTGCTATTCCGCAAGCCGTTCACATCTTCGATGAGCAGATCCGGTTTGGTCGCACCGGAGCAACGACGCGACATTGATACCTCATAACCTGTTATCCTTAATGCTCCCAGTGTCTCACGAAAGCGCCTTCTGGCTGTATTGCTGCATGTCCTTTTGAGAATCGATAGGACGCGCTAATTTTACATGCGGCCCACCAATGTGTGCCATATGCGCGTGAGCACTCTCGATTGGTTCATCTTGCGCCTACTCTCTTGTCACGCATCACCGGACCAGAGAACGCTCAGTGGATCGGCACGCGACACGCAAAGGGGTCTGCACCTTCCGCACACGTCAAAGAAGCAGCACCTCGAGAAGGCCATGCCCCTGCCACCGCGACTATCATGCCCGAACGTCTTCGTAGCTTGCATGCAGCAAATGTAGCGTAGAGCATGCGTACAAGCTCATCCGACAAAGCTGCTTGCCTTCCGAGACTTCACGAAGCCAGGCAAGCTCAACTGCCACCTCAATTGACATGCGTCTCAAGAGAACAGCCAGTGCCTGCAAAAAGGCAGTGCGTCCCTAGCCCTAGCGGCTGCCCTTTTTCCGATTCGTACATAGCTGCTGCGTCTTGTCCGCAGGAGCGAGGGGGAGGGCGCTTTTCCGCGTGAGTGAGTGGTCGCCCTGCGCTTACTACCATCATTGTGTTTCTTACCGGGTCTTTCGTACTGCTCGCTCCGTCTTCGTCAATCGATTGATCGCTCGCTCGCTCGCTCGACTCTGTTCAGCCCGTCTCGCTCGGCCCGTCGTTCGTTCTCCACGCAGCAGCCACCAAGTCCCTTTTATCTTTCGCCCCTTCGATCGACAAGTTCATCTGCGCACCCATTCTCACCCCGCTGACGTGCCACCAGTGACGGACTTTGATGGCCTTTGCGTCGTCCACGTCTTCGTCGACGTCCCACATCATGACGCCGCACGCAGCCGCTATGCAACTGCAAGACTCGAGCGCGGCGCTCGACGCCTCTGTCACGTCGCAGGGCTACAACTACGACCCTGCAACGTACCACCAGTACGCCCAAGAGCGCTCGATGCACGACCAAGGCGGCCACAAAGTCAACAGCTCCACTGCCAGTTCCTCGTCCAAAGCCACGACGTCGTCGTCGGCCTCGCAGCCGAAAGAGCGTCTCAACGCTGACAAACTGCGGCCGAAACTCGAAGCCACGACGTCGCCCACGAGCGCAGCCAAGGTCCAGAACTCCCTCTCCGCTCCTGCTGCTTCCCGGGCGCTGTCCACGCCCACGGTCCGCAATGAGGCACTCAAGTCGAACCGGCTCTGCACCATGCCAGGCTGCACGAAGCGCGTGCGGTCCAAGGGACTGTGCAAAGCCCACGGCGGGGGGCGACGCTGTATGGTGGACGGCTGTGAACGCAGCAGTCAGGGCCAGGGGCTCTGTATCCGCCACGGAGGCGGTAAACGCTGCACGCAGTCGGGCTGTACCAAAGCGTCACAGTCCAACGGGCTCTGCAAAGCACATGGAGGAGGTCTACGCTGTCAAAGCGCCGGCTGCACCAAGAGTAGCCAAGGCGGCGGCTTCTGTCGCGCCCATGGAGGCGGTCAACGCTGTGAGAAGGAAGGCTGCAACAAGGGGGCGCAGCGTGGCGGCTTTTGTGCTGGCCACGGCGGCAGTCGCTTCTGCCAGCATCCGGACTGTACCAAGAACGACCGCGGAGGCGGTTTTTGTGCCGAACACGGCGGTGGCAAACGCTGTGATCACGCTGGCTGCAACAAGCCTGCGCGCAAGAAAGGCAAGTGCTCGTACCATGCCAATGCGACCAAGAGCAAGCTGTCCAAGGACCAGCTGGCCACGGCCGGAGTCGGTAGTGGCGTGTCGTTGCCGCAGCATATGATGGACATGCGACAGATCACGACACCGACGTTTGCCATGGGCGTGAAGGATCTACGCGACCCGCATGTGGCAGCAAGTCAAGTGGACGCCCAACGCGCGGCGTACGTGCAACAGCAGCGGCTGGAGATGGACATGCGGTACAAGAGCTACGAAGGTGCAAATGCCGGTCAGTATCTGCAGATCCATGCGGACCAGCGGTCGTACGAGCCTATCAGTCTCCAGGCTGGTGGTGCGGCTCGTCATTACATGGCTGCAGACAATGGTGCTCTACCTCCAGTGTCTTCCGGCAGCATGTACAAGCCTCCGGGGGCGATGGAGCGTCAGACGTATGGGCCGCGTGGCACACAGGAGCAAATGAAGAATCCATACTCGCAGCACTGGGCCACGAAACCGGAACTGTCGCAGCACCACCCTGATGCACGGGTGGATTACTTTGATGTCAAGGAGCAGCAGCAGCCGCCGCAGCAAGCGGGACACCACCACCCGTACTCGACCCAGTCATCACAGTACCACCACCACCTCAGTGCAGCAGACTCAGCTGCTGCTGCCGCAGCTTATGGTCAGCAGCAGCAACAACAACAACAACAACAACAGCCACCGCGTGCGTTCTACAGCCAACAGCAGCCACCATCAGCCGCGCCCAGTGACCAGCCCGCATCACAGCAGCAGAACATGATGTACTACTCGGCAAACGGATACCCGCAGCACCAGATGCATAGCATGCAGACGCAGCAACAGATGCAGATGTTATAAGCCCAGCAGTGCAAGCGCAGTCGCTGGATGGGTGTGCACCTTGTGCATCGCTCTCAAGCAACGTTGCTGACGATTGGAGTGCAAGCGCAAGAGACTTGTCGTCGTGCGAGCTGCGTGCACTGAGCTGTTATAGAGATAGAACCCACCTGCAATGGACTGGAGTTTCCTCGTGTTTGCGGGGAAGCAGCAGAGATATAGTTAATGCCGTCGGATAGGGACCGTCCCTTTCCTCTCGACCAGTGTTGACCAAACTGGAGGAAGGATCGCGAGCCAAAGCATTATTCCACATCAACCAACATACGTTTGTTTCCACATGCTCGCGCGTTTGATCGATTTCGTCATCCTGCCTGCTCCCATAGCCGCTTCTCCGTGTACAGAATCGGCACCATTCGCCCTTCTCTTGCTTTCGCGTACCAACTCTGACGCCTCGAAAAGCGTTTCAACAATGACCGACACCTCCATGTTACCCACCGACAAAGAGGATGCCGTACACACACATATTACTTCATACGTTCTTGCACTAATACTGGCTACGGGTCGAGATGCCACGAGCTACTTGACTGGTTCTTATTCGTCTAGAAGCTTATCGAGCTCGACGACGTCTCGATAGCAGCTCAGTGTGTAGCCACGTATCAGAAAAACTGATGCGGGTAGATGCAGAGACTTGTGGCGAGCCGGTCTCCTGGCTATTGACTGGACCCACCCACACATTTTGCTTATTACCATGTCATGTGACGATGACACTCACACGGAATAGAGCTCGTTCTCTGTAGCCGATGTCTCATTGTGGATCTATGAGCTTACAAGTTCTTTTTCAGAAGGGCTTTTTACATGCTGAAGACTTCGAGTTACTGTGCCGAACGGGCATCTTGCTGCTTGTTGGACCAAGTAGCAACGAATGTAAACGAGACACAGATGAATTACCATCAGAGCGACTGAGGACAGAAGCTTCTTTTCTTCTAGACCATTGGGATATCTATGCACCTGTCTTCGTGCAATCATCGAGGTTTACTGCGACGCCTGTGACTCACAAAGCAGCGTCTGGAAACATCGGATCAATGTGGCGATACCTGTTCGCAGACCTTCGTCCAGCTTGGGAGGAACTGGATGAGACACGTGGGCAAAGTCGATCAGACGAATGTCGGCCGCGTAAGCTTCGGAGACAGACTTGTCCTCCCGTCTTGACTCTTCGCCGTCGTATAAGAAGAGGAAGGAACTGGCAATAAATTCCGTTGTTTGCTGCTCATCAAACCACGTCTTCAACTGATCAAGGCGTCGCAGGTACTGAAAGCACCAGCAAACAGGAAAAAGATGACATTCGTCAGTTTTATCAGTACTCACAGGCAACCGCGGCAGCATACTCGTAGCTTACCGCTTCCAGCAGCTTCACTGTTTTCGTCTTGTCTTGCAGCGGGAAAAAGTGTCCAAGGGCTCGAGTAATCCCGTCCATCGACGTGATACTTCGCCCAAAGTACTTGTCAAGCACGACATAATTGTTCTCTTCCAGACTATACACTTTGATGCCCTGAATACGAAGACCAGCCGTCTCTTGCAACGAAAACTTGGACTTCTCATGAGCGACCTTTTCGGCTGACGCGCCTTCCTCATACGACCGCGTACCCATCTTGATGTCCATGATGCAGGGCCACTTCCTGCCCCACGTCAAGTCCTCGAGCACCAAATACTCTGCACATTCAAACACAATGACAACAGTCAGGTAAATGAAGATACACCAGCTGCAGTGTTCCCATCTCCTTCGTGCGTACTAGTACACGAATCCTCCTTCTTTTCGTCCCCAGCTTCAGGGATCACAGTGGAGCCGTAATACATGGGCAAGAATGTTCTGAGAGCTCCGAAGTCCGGCGACTCTTTCTCCGATCTGAACACGCGCTCGTAGAAGTCGCGCTCTCGTTCACCGCGTTGTTTGCTCTGATACGGCTTCAAGATTTTTCCATCGTGAGCTTTTAGACTTGTCTTGGCTGTGGTGTGGCCGCCCACTTGGTGCGCGAAGCTCGTCGCCATGAGACTCGATCGGATACTTTTGTCGATGCCCTTTTGCGACGTCATATCATGTCCAAGATCATTATCGAATTTTCGAAAAGCTACGCGTGACATTGACACAAATTAGCGACATAAGCTCAACATTGTTGTTAAAAGGTTGGATTTACCGTTTCTTTTAGCGCTCTCTTTCGCACAGTCCATCAACATAGCCGTAGACTTGCTCCATGCTATGTGAGTGCAGTTACAGTTCGTCCAATGCCGCAATCCCCCCTTCCTAATCTGAGGAGCGTACGGCGTCCTCTGTTCCATCCACACACACACACCTAGCACATCCGCACTCCTGCCGAAGAGTCACATCAACGTCCCTCCACTAAAAGCTCGAGTCGCTAAACTGATGTATGTAGCTTAGTTTTGATCGATTGCCTTGGCTGACTACTGCAGCTTGCTTGCAACCGCGTCCACGTGAGGAACGGCCGACAGCACGCCATAGGCAGCTACCGAAGGCGTGGCTTTCAGTGCCTTTTGAGCCAGTTCCTGCAGCTTCGTAGCCGTGACGCTCTCGACAAACTCCAACGGCGACTTGGACACATGACCCGAAGTAACCATGAAACCGATGCGACCCAAAGCACCCGCCTGAGTGCTGTACTGCTCCAACGCTTCAAGCGCCGCTGTAGTCTTAGCAGCAGCCAACTCCTCGTTACTAGCCGAAGTCAAAGCAGCTTTCTTGAACTCAGCAGCAAACAAATCCACAAGCGCACCAGCCTCCGAGGGGGCGGCGTAGCCAGATAGACTCATCAGAGCGACATCACCGTAGCTTGACAGTAAAGCCGAGACCTTCTTGTTCTTCTTAACCCGCACACTCAACAGCGCACGTAGTACCTGTGACGCTCCAAAATCAGCAGACTCCCGACCCACAGTAGGAAGCGCCAGAGCAACGCGCGTGTACGGAGCCGCATGCTTAACACGAGTCTCTCCACCCACATACTTGGCTTTGGCACTCGAAACCTTGCTGCCCTTGTCCAGCGAGCCGAAGTACTGATTGGCCAAGTCCGTAAGTGTGATGTGAGCCACACCAGCTCCCACCAAAGCGGCGTTCGACGTGTTCACATACTTGTTGAAATAACTCCAAAGTGCATCGGGCGTCAGCGCCTTGAGGTTGTCCACGGGAGCAAGCGGGCGGCCGAGCGACACGTCGTCGTAAAACGCCGCAGCGTGCACGCCCTCGAGCAGCGACAGCGACTGGTCGTCCAGGATCTTGTCGTGCTCTGCCTGCACCAGTCTCTTCTGCTCGTTCACGTCGTAGAGCGCAAACTTGGGGGCGAGCGTCGTCTCCGCCAAGATCTCGGCCGCTGCCTCCAGCTGGTCCGGCAATACACTCACACTGTAGCGCACAAAGTCACGGCCTGCGGTAGTGTGTACCACACCACCAATGGCTTCGATATCGCGGTAAAGACGCAGATCAGAGCGCGTCTGCGTCGCCCGGAACGCCATTTTGGCGAACAACTGCGACACACCGGCCGTCTCGTCGCTTTCGTCACGGGTGCCGGTGTTCAGCTGCAGGCCAATTGTCGCGACAGACGCAGCGCAGTCGTCAGAGCCCAGCGCGAGTCCTGACAAGGCCGTGGACGTCGTGAGTTTGGGAGTGCCGATGGCTACAGGCTGCGACTTGGGCACGGCCGGGAACTCTTCACTCAGCGCAACGCTGGGCATGGCACTGGACTTGCTAAACAGCGAGCGCGTTGCGCGGGCCGCGAGCTTCGAGGATGACGAGGCGAGCATGGAGAGAGGGGGTAGCTAGAGAGAGAGAGAGAGGGAGTCGTAGGGAGAGCAGCACGTCAGCTCGCTCTCGTCCGCTTCTTGGTGTGAGGGGGCGGCGCTGAGGGCCGCACACGGTCTATGGACTGTGATTGGTGGAAATGAAGCCAGTGTTTTGCGCGAATGAGCGAGTGATCGTACTTTATGAGGAAATGTAACCCCCCCTCGCCACTCGCGGTCGCAGCGACCTTTCGGGCTCTCTGCCTCGTCAAAGTGAAGCCATGAGACTATCACTCTTGCATTGCAACGAGAGTGCGCCTTCAAAAGGCAACGACGCACAAAAGAAACGGACGAAAAAAACGAAAGAAAGATACGAGGGAAACCAACGGACGACCGGGTGCAAAGATGGAGAATAAGCCCATGGTCGCGCGGTTCATGGTCTATAGAGTGGGCAGTTTCGTCGTCAAGGAGCGCGTGCTGTGCTTCGGCGAGTACTCGTTCTCAACGCTGGACCGCGAGAACCAGCAGATGACCAACACGTGGCCGTACGAGGACGTCGATGGCGCGAACGCGTTGGATGGAGAGACGGACTTTGTCATCCACACGCCGCGCCACCGTATCAAGAAGACTGTGTACCGCAGTCAGTTCCGCATGGACGTGCTCGTCTGTCTCTTGCGGCTGCGTAGTCGCCACTATGCCAAGACACCCAATTACTCGACGCCTGTTGGGCTCCAGACGCACATCTTTGAGGGTCGCAAGTGCTACTGGAGCGGGATGGAGTCGCCTTTCGTCGTGGAGGTCCGGCCAGATGGCATTTACCAGCGAGACACGGAAGGAGACGTGATGAGCTGCATTAGCTACACGAGTTTGGTCTCGATGGACGTGATTGGGGACGACCGCGAAGCGATTGTGCTGAACCACGCGGACAACTCGAGTCTCTTTTTCGTGCCGCGACGCACGGAGCTAGCGCTCGCTATTGAACGAGTGATGAAGGCGTATGGGATGCAGATCAATAAATACGGCGAGAAAACCATGGAAATGGCGCTGAAAGACGGCGGGTTTGCAGCGACGACGATGAGGACTGCAGTGTCGTTCGAGTACCAAGTCTCGAAGGTCTCGACATCGAAAGAATCGAGTGGCGGTGCTCCCAGGACGCTTTCGGTCTCGGAAATGTACGTTACCGAGTATACAGACGCCCACACGGTGATTTCCTGTCGTCCTCTGTCGCGGGTCTACAGTCTGATCATTTACCAAGACATGGTGCAAACGTTTCGAGTCGTCTACGTAGACGGGGTCAGTCGCACGTACAATTCCTATCAGCGTGAGAAGATTGTGTGCGAATTGCTAGCGTCTTGTCACGCCCTGGGCAATCTTCAAGTAAGTGTGGAGATGGTGGATATTCCAGAGTTCATGCGCATGATACCGCGTGAACTCATTCGAGAAGGAAGCAGGATCGCACATGCGGTACCGAATGTGAACTTGACGGACCGAGAGCTTCGTGCTGTGCAAGCAAACATCTTGCAGTCGCTAGCGGTGCATGGCGGTCGGAAGACAGCACGCACGCAACGACAGCTTCCTCGAGGCCTAGACGAAGAGATGCATTCTTTGGCGGTGGAGTTTAATGTCAATACACCGACATATGGCGTAATTGCGCAGCCCAGTAAGTCGTATGAAAAGGTGTTGTACATCCTTGCTCGGGAGCTCCGTGATATCGTGGCTAGGCACGGTGCGAATCACGACTTCGTAATCACCTACCTGCAGTCTCTATATCGTTTGATGCTTGCACCTGCTGCTATCAACGAATTTATGAAGATCCTGACAGAGGTATGTTGGTGTGGGCTAATAAACCGGCGGTGCTGCGATATCCAGCTTAGTTTCTTTTATGTTTATATGTCTTTCTTTAGCGCGAAGAGGAGTATTTCGGAACAATTGGCAAGATTTTGGACAGGAAGAACTCGGTTGCTACGTACTGGATATTCATGGTCCTCAGCCGGCTAATGGAATCGAAGGAGCACAAGTTGCAGTGTTTACAGCTTATGTTATCTAACCGTGTCTTCCTGACGACACTTCTTTCACTACTGGACGAGGATATTCGTGTGAGTCCCAGTGGTGCCGGCAGATATCGCCGGTAATTTGCTTACATTGTGATGCTGTTTTTTTGTGTTGTGTAGACAGGATTGTTTTTGTCGGATCTTCCTACGATGAAATTGTGTCAACTCATTCTATTGTTGGTGGAGGGCAATGACGAGAAGCAGCCGGAACTTGCGGAGACGCTACACCAGCATTTGGCGACGAAATACCGAATGCTGCTTCGGGTTCTGTTTAGCTTTCCGGGTTTGGCTACTGTGGAGGCCTGCGTGGGCATTTTAAGCCAAATGTCAAAAAGTGTATCGTGTCCGCAGCTTGGCAACGTGGGACATCCAGTACGTTCTAATGGTGGAAGGATTCAACAAGCGCTCAGTTTTGGTCCTGGTAGCCACCGGCAGGCTGTGGCTCCGCAGTCTAATCGTCCTCCAACGTTTTCGTCTCGTGGAAACACGTACGCAGCAAATCGAAGTAGCATATTCTCGTCGTCAGCGTCTTCTTCTGGTGGTTTGTCCGGCGCTCCAGCCAGCGTGGTGGTCGTTCAGAATCCCACAGTGCTATTGCAGCAATATCGACAGTTCTTCGAAGCAGCATGGGGCTCTTTGCCGATGAGGCTCGATCAGTACGACGATCCGAAGTTTTTGCGTCTTCGTTATCGATGCCGCAACACCTTTTTACAGGAGCTCATGAGTTACTTAGCGGGTAACTTTGAGGAGTTTAAGCGCGTGTATAAGGTTGACTGCTATCAGTTCAGCGGGTTCATAGGCACAGCTGATGGGCAGCGAGAAAGGACGAGGTTTTATTTGACGCACCGAGGTCTAATTTCTGTGCGAACTGCAAGTAGGCATACTCAAGAATTCGAGTACCGGTCGCTTAAAGAGATCATCGAAGCGACGACAATTCTGGATGCGTTCATCCTTATAGTGAAGGGAAAGTTAAAGTTTATCTACGCGGACGAAAGTGCCAAGATCGTGGAAAAGATGAAGACATTAGCTGGCGTTGTCGGAATTCACCTTCGGGTAAGGACACAGGAGAAGCTTCCAAAACCGCCAGTGGAAAAGCCGCTGGACTTATCCAAGTTCCAGTCGAACGATCTATTCGATGTTCAGAGACTGACTGGTCGCCTTGGATCCACAAACTTACGAAAGAGAAAAGTGTGCTTCGTGGACGGAACTATTGAAGAGTTCACGAACTGTTCGAAGAAAGTGTACGACCTGAAGATGTTGCGGCGCGTGGTGGTTCCTGGGTCGGGAGGTGATGATGCACAAGCTGTGGTTGTGTTGGAGTTTTTGGATTGCAGTCGTGTTACTTATGTGCCATACGATACCGAAAAGTTTCTGGCCGCTGTGTACGATGGGTATCGCTGCGTTGACAATTATAACGTATCGCTAAGTCGAGAATTTTCCAGCTTGAACCCTAGAATGTCTACGAGAATGTTGTTGCGCGACGAGCATGAGCGATTCCTTTACTGCAGCCATGATGGACTCTATATTCCAGCACACGCGACACTGGAAAAAGAGTTTGAAATGATGAATGGCGAAGGAGTTAGCATCGCGTCTGCGACGAACAGAGTCGCATTTGCACTTGAAAATTTGAATATGAATGTTGAAACGTGTGATTTCACGAAACAATCTATGCGTGGACGGTTGGAGCAGCTATCGTTCAGCCATCTGCTGGGGGGGATTAATAACATGGTAAGTGAAACTGAATTGTGTTGTGCTATGCGCGAGCTAACACGCAGTTGTATGTTTTCTTTTTGGAATAGCTCGAGTATTCTTGCAAGCCACCTATTCGGACAAACGATATCTGTGTAATTTTGGAAGCCTTCTGTCGCATCAATGATGGCTGTTTCCGTATTTCGATGGAGCAGCCAAACGGAGGTGCGATGGTTGTTGTTCCAGCGCTGGCTCGAATCTTAGTTTCTGGTGACCCAGTGGCAACAGTGTGGGCACTGGATTCACTGCATTCGCTAGTCACTTACAAATCGCGATCAAACGGACATCGGGCGGCTGAAAAAGCTATTCGGAGTCAGGTGTTTGATGACAAAAAGCTTATTTTGCTGTTGGCCGATCTACTGGATCAACAAAATCCAAGCTCCACTCTGGCGATGCTGGAGCTTGTCTTGGATGTGCTAGTCGTTTCTCGTCACAGTACCGATACTGTTCACTTTGATGCCATTGTTAAAGCATTGGGAGCAAAGTACTTACTGTTGCTAGAGCTAGCGTCTCAAACCTCGAATGCGGGATTAGCTGCAGCTGTCATTTGCCTCTTGAAAGTGCTTGTTGACCACGGTCATCACAAGATTCGACGACGCATTTGTGACGTTGCGCTAGAATCAGGACTCACTGTGAAGCATTTGTACAAGGCATTTTTTCACCCTGCCGATAACGCAAGGGAGACATACCAGTACATTACAAGCATTTGGGTGACACATCATAAAGCTTCTCATGAGATGTTCTCGAGGATTCTCCCTCATGGATTTATTCGAATGGTATCCGATCCGATGGTTCGTAAACTGCTAATGAAGCAGCGAGCACGAAAAACCGAGTCTGTGCGCATGAGGAGCAAACGTCAGCTTTTGGACCAAGTTGATGGGTCTGAGTGGTTTATTCGTCGCATGCAGCTCCAAATCGGAACGCTATTTGATAACGAATTCAGGTCTGAAAGTCGAGGAAAAGAAGATTCGTCGCACATGAATTATTGCGGTGAATCATCTACCGATATAGCCCTGTTATCGAGTATGGTCTGTAAAGATTTTCTGCTTCCTGACTTGATCTGGAATGAACAAACACGCGCTGAATTGGAGACTGCACTCAAGTTAGCAATTGAAGAATTTGATCAGCATAAACTGGACCAAGCAGCTGCGATATCATTGCTTATCTCCCGAAAAGGATGTAGAGAGATCAAGTGGAACCACGCCCAATTCTCTGTGGTGTATAATAGCATTGCCCAGGAGCTCCAAGTCAACCGCTTCTATCCTCGCGTTATCATGAAACGGATAAACGATGGATCATTGAAACTTGCTGAAGTAGCCAATACTGCCCGTGCAATGGAAGCTGGAACGCACGTAGGAAATCTTACGAAGTCGAGCAGTCTTTTCTTTGCAAGCGTGGGCATCGCCAAAAACCCGGCAATGTTTTTCAACGAGGTCTATCAATGCTGGCTGGAGCATTTGCATTTGAACAATATTCCTCTATCAGGAACAAACGATTGGTCTGCAAGCGGAAGCAACGGATTTTCACGGCACGTCGGAGCACTCGGGAGCGAGCAGCATGGTCATTCCCTGTTAAAAATTCTGATTGAGTTAGCACGCGTGTTTCCAGAAACTCGGTCAGTTACGAAACACAGAGCACGCTTTCTTACTGAGCTGCTACGTAATTCATATTTGGTGAGCGAAATACAAGATATAGTGGAGTTGATGTCTTGCGTCAGCTTGTCTGGTGGAGCAAGTGTAGCTCTGTGCACAAATAGCCACATTCAAGTGCTGCTGCATATGTCGATGCTATTGCACAGGTGTCCAACAGAGCCGCTTAAAAGCGATACGAATACCGGTCAAGGAGACATTCCAATGATGGATTCAATGACAACGTCCGAGTATAATGAAAGCTCTTCTATGCCAATAGCAGAGCTTTCGTTTTACAACGATTCACGATTTGCTTTGAAATGGAGCATAAAGTGTAAAAATGCCGGAAAAACGGATGAAGGAAGTGTGATTAACGGACCGTATTCAGCAAACGAGCTGAAGGAATTTATAGACGCTGACTCCCTTGGCCGAAACCGGCAATTTGACGCGTTTGACGTATGCTGCTGCTCTGTGCATGAACGTGAACATACTGATGGTGCTGAACATACTTGGAAGTCAATATTTGAGTACCCGGAATTGCGATGGATGGAGATCACTGATGAGCCTATTGACACAAATTGCGCTGTGTTCGCGCTAAAAACGCTACGAAACTTCATGGTCAAAGATCAAGGCACAGGTCCGTCTGGAAATACAATGTTGTGGCCACCTCCGTTGGTGAACACGATAATGGACAATACGTCGTCGTTAGCTTGTATAGCTCAGCTTCTTCTGGTGAATAACTCCAGTGTACGGAGATACGTCTGTGAGATGCTTATGTCACTCAACGAAGTAGAACTACAAGAGATGTACAAGTATGGAGTATTCTACTTCATCCTTTCGACGGCCGCTAATCTTAAAGGGTCTGAAAATGTGCCTGCCTTTTTACCAGAAGCAACTTTGTTGCAACGGATGCATCGCTCCCAGCGATCATCGGAGCGACGTGTGGGACAAAGCTACTTAATCGACATACTACCGGAGTCCCTCATATCAGTCCTGGATTCAGAGACCCCTGAACGCTTCGCTGATATGTTCAGCGGTCGCATACACGACAAGCGTGTCCTGTGGTCCTCAAAAATGAGGATTCACTTGCACGAAATGATGGGTGAGCATTTACAAGAGTTTAAAGGTTATTTGAAGGACGACGTTGCGGCAAGGTACATCTACAGTCCAATTCCTCCTATCTCGTATTTGGAGTTATCAGGAGATGTGTATTGCAGTGGATTCTATCTTTCGACCTTCAATAGATGCAATTCTGATGAAGAAGAGGTTGAGAATCCAGTTTTCTTGATAAAGAGTGTTGAGGAAAAGTGGCGGTACTTTGCTCGGCGCCAAGTTGGTAACACGGAAGAGACCATGGATCACTTGGATGCTTGTAAGATATTTGGTTGGAGCGAAGACGCAGCAAACTCCTTGTCAGATTTGCGTAGACGCTATCGGGAGTTGTGTCGGCAGGGAATCGAACTAAATAAAGTTCGCCGTGCATTTGACTCGATTTGTGCCGCACTTGAGCGCAAGAATGAAGCAGATGGCGGCCGGACATCAGACGAAGTCCTTGAGCATATACTGAAATCACAACTTCGGTTGTTGGACGAATACGGCTTCCACTTTTCTTCGTACGAGTCTTCGACGCTGGATCTGCTCCTCAACGTGCTATCATCTCAGTTGGAAGGGGAGTCTAAGTTTGGTACACTCGCGATGAACGTGTTGCAGCAACTACTCTATGTTGCACCGCAAAATGGCCCACTTCTGGTCAATATAGACGGTTGTTGGGAAACAATTCTTGGCCTGGTTGAACGCTGTGCGTATGGACACGACGTGGCCTCTAAAGAAAGCATGTTTTCCATACTCCAACTACTGCTCGTTTCCAGAGAAGGTGTTGAATCGCTTGTGGGGGGCAATTTTGTAGCATCAGACAAGGCGTCGCCATCGAAGACCTTCGATTTCACTGTGTTTAGAGATGATGAAAACACTTCTTTTTTTACTGCGACCGAGTACACATCTCTAAGAGGGCCAATCAGGACTAGGCACGCTCAGAGTGTGTATTCGTTGCTTGATGATGTTATTCTTTCTTTTGAGAATATTCAGCCGTGGCACATCCAGAAGATGTCGTTTGACATCGCATCATCACTTTGCCGAAGTCGTGCGGTGCAAGAACAAATTATGACCTCTACACGAGTTTTTTGGAAAGGTCTTTATTTGATCTTGGCGTCAGCTGAGAGTACATCAGGAATTGACACGGCACAGGAAGGTACGACGGTGTTGGAAAAGCAAGAACTTGAAATGCTGGAGAGCGCCTTTGGAGCACTTCGGTCGCTAGCTTTGGGTCCGGAAGGCAATAGCAGATCTGCAGGACTTGATGCGTTAGCAAATCTCCTGCCGATGGACTTCTTAAATTGTCTTGAAAAGCCAAACGGACATGACTTTTGCACCACTCTCCTGTCGAATATTCGTGAACCAACCTGCATCTGGAACGAAAGTACGCGAGCTGAACTCTCTGAGCTCACAGAAGAGTTTTGTACCGATTCCAATGGTGACATGTTATCGTTTTTAGAGATCGCCTCCAACCACATGTACGACTGCTTGAGCACGGAGCCTTTCGTTGGAGGAATCTATTTGCTTATCTTGCTGGAAAAATCGGAGGTGAATCCGACAGCAATCAATGAAGATACGTTGTATCCGACTACAGCTGTTGATTTTGTAGAATCTCTATTTCTATTCTTAAATGAGAACAGAGATCCAAAGCTCGGCATTTATTCCGACACGCTTCCAGCATTAGATTGCTTAAGTCTTCTTTGCGACTTGCCGGCATTCCGGCCCGCCATTGTGGAGTGCTTAGAGCAACACGTTGATGATGTGGATCCGGTGAATGCCTCAGTTTCGGTTGCCACATTAGGCAGATACTTGCTTCCCTTTGACGGCGGTGTAAAATCGAAAGCAGTTTCGATTTCGTCTCGTCGATCGCTGTCGACGTATGGATTCGATGCCAAAAATGGGTATGATCTTACCACTGCTGCAATGGAAACCGATTTTGGAAATGTGGATTATCTTGCTCGCCAAGAGCTTGCGCTGCTTGTTTTGAACAAAATTTGTGGGTTCGGTTGCAATCTGGAACGGATGCTGGCGCCTTTCTGCCAGTTCACGTGGTGTCTTCAGGTGATAACGGATCATCTTGATTATGAACAAGCGTTCTATGCGCTGTCCTGCTTGGCTGAGCTATGTGACACATGCCTTGCAATTGCTGAGTACATAGAAATGAGCGGGCTGTGGGTCGAGGTGTTGGGCATCGCACTTCAATCCAGACAGCATGTTCTGCACGAGCACTTCCTTCGAGCTGAAGCTCTACGGGAACCTGCATTTGAAGTTTTGTACGCACTCCTGATGAAAGACGTTCCTTTGCGAGAGAAAATGTACCGCGCGCTTTGCCGTTTTCTTCCTTATCCAATCGTATACCAAATTCACTTGGACCCGAACAAAGCGACTCGTTTCTTCGATGACAACCACGAGAAGAGTGACTTAATTTGGAACTCTCATAGGCGAACCGAAGTGCGTAAGAAGCTCGACGCAATTATCTGCCGAAATCGAGTGGAACGGTCTATAGCAAAGAGGGACTCCGTTTTACTCGACGACGAGACTGACTTTATCCCACTCCCTCAAAATTTTGTGGCAGGACTCTACATCGATCGGTTTTTGTCTCGACCGGACCCGGAAAAACTAACGAACCCGGCATATAATTTGGAGTTGCTTTTCCAGGTATGGAGAACTCAACTGGATAAACTCATGGGCTTCGATCTGCAAAATCCGCCCGATGACCTTCAGTCGATTGTTGATGAAATTGACCGGTACACGATAGCGATAACGCATATTTTGCGGGCATCACTTGATATTGATGAGAATGTCGCTAACGACAGCATACCCGAGCAAATCGTGAAGCTTGTACGCCACTGCAATCAGCATTTGGTTACAAGCTTTCCGTATCGCTGCATTTTGCGAGTCGCTCGGCGCTTAGTGCAGTTTCCTGAAATTACTTCGAAAGAATTTGTTGAACTGCTAATTTGTCGAATTACGTTGAAACACCCGGACATTCCAAACATACTCAAAGTGCTTCGACGTGTGTTGGAAGCACGCAACACAGCGTTGGCGGAATGCGAGACAAAGGAGGATCCCGATTATTGGTTGAGGGATCTTAAGTACTATCCCCAGATGCTGGCCTTCCTGGAAGGGCTGGTGGAGAACAAGGATGAGATCGAAACGTCTCTCTTATCAAACGCAAATCGCGTGTTACGTATCATTCACGCTGAAGAGCCGAAGGAAACCCATGTCAAGCAGTTTTCGCGTAGCTTAATGGGTCGCTGGCACAACTTTACGCTGGAGAGCAGAACGTCGACGCTCCGTAACACAAGTATAACTGGGCAAGTTGAAATGAAGCCACCAGCACACGCGAGTGCAGTGAACACGAAATCGGCCAATCCAGACGCGTTGAGTGCGTTAAATGTCAACGTAGATGAGGCAAGCGAGCGGTTATCCGAGATTGCCGCCAGTACTCGGAGCTTTGATGTGGATGGAGAGAGAGAGCCGTCCATCCGTGTCGATATTAAAGGCACACCTGATGACCGTGAAATTGACATAGATGGCACCTTTATCCAGACCCCTCCGAAGAGCATTAACTATACTGACGGCGCAGTAGAGGTAGGAGACGCAACTATTGCACCTCGCAGCTTTCAGTACAAGGGCGAATATGCGCGTGATTCGCCATTGCCATCTCCAACATCACTCCGCTACTCGACGCTAGGAGCACGATATGAACCGATCAACTCCCAATATCACTCGAGGAAGGCAGCTGAATACGATGAACACGAAGATGACGAGGACATCTTTGCTACGCGTCCCCGCCGTGGAAGCGTTCCATCAAAGGTAGAGAACGTCAGCGTAATGGGGACAAACAGGCTGACTGTTGATACTGCAGGCGGCGGCGGTATCCCCATGAGCAGCATCAACGTGAGCATCTATGACTCACAAGCGCCTGCAACCCATCGACAGTCACGAGCGCCAAGTGGAGTCCCACCGGAAGCAACGGGAAGCATGAGTACCGATCGGCGCTATTCGTTGCTGGACTCGTGGAAACCGCCAAGCTCAGTAGCGCCCAGCTCTTCGCTCACGTCCCTCACAATATCTCGACGAGGACGCCGAGCTGCTGCTGTCTATAGCCGATGCAAGTCAAAAGGCAAAAAGAAATGGTTTAATCGTTAGTCTAAATAGCGTACACTTTAATCCAAAGGATGCGAATAGGCAAGTTGAAGTTGAAGGTGAAGTTTGACCATCACTTTGCAATTCAACGCTTCGAACCACGTTCAAAATGAGTTGGCAGCAGAGCACAGTACGGCAGAGCAACTTTGGAGCAAGCGAAAGCGCCCGCGATCCTTCTCACCACAACAGTGGAGACAGCAGTATCCTTCGGTACATCAAGGAGCTGACGACGCACCAGACAAACGCCAAGCAGCAGCGCATCGATCGATATCTTCAACATGTCAAGCACGCGCAGCCAGACGAGGACTTTTCGGTAACTGCTCCAAAGCCAGCTCGACTTGTGTCGGCAACTGGACCGACATACAACCAGCTGGCAGACGGGGTAGCTGCGTCATTGCGTGCCGAAAGACTACGGGAAGAAAACAGCAGCTCCAATCGAGCAGGAGTGGCGGAGTTTCCAAAATGGAGCAACCCTCGGTCGCAGTCCAAGCGGCCGCACAAAGGCAATGGAATTCGGGAGCAAGTGAAGCCAAAACGAGCACGAGTTAAGAAGCAGACCACGATAGGTGGAGCTTTAGATAGATTTCGGTTTCACTATGCTGCCTTGTCAGAAAAAATGGTACCGACACACGGGGCTGAAAGATGTGCTAGAGACACGACGACTCCTGTTGTTATGGCTTCTAACGGGAAACAGCAACGTCAAACGACGCAGCTTCAACGCTCGATGCTTGTGCCACAATATGCGGACTCTGGATTCAATAGTCGCGCCGACTCGACGCGCCATCCTATTCAGGTTTGGCTCTGTATAAAATGCGTCGATACTTGCGTGCATGTGATAAAGAGTTGTCGTCGTGGTCGTTTCTAGTTGCAAGAGCCACATTTGGTGAACACGCACCCAGCAAAGGATCCATTTCCAGATCCGAGCCGCAGCTTGCTTCAGTCCACATGCAATACGGCGCAAGAAGAAATTACAAAGGACGACGTTGGAGATGACATCTGCTTTCCCGAAGTCTTCGTCCGGACTTACGACCCTCTCAGCTGCATCATGGAGATGGTTTTCTTTTAATTTAAATAAGGAGTAGTGATCGCTATTTCTAAAAACATTTAATCAGAAGCAACATTATTCTTTTTGAAAGGGTCTACGTACCCCCATTTCTACGGATGTCACTCATATACAAGCCCCTATTTTAGCACAAGCCCCCCCCCGTATTACAGTCCCTTACAGATTAGTCTTCAAGATGAAAAGACTTTATTTGCAACTATAAATGAGACTTTATACAAGGATATTATCAAACGAGATGCACCACAGAAGTTGCAAAATGGGCACAAAGGATTGCTTTGTCATACCCGAATACCACTCCTCTTTATTTCATTTAAGTCAAAATCAAAAATAGTACGCATAAATAACGTAGTCAGCAGAGTTCCGAATCGGAGCTTAACGCACCCACCCATAGGGCCAAAACCTTAAGCGTGGGTGGGCAGAGCCCATCCATGCCCCACCTTTTCACTACTGCAGATTCATCGCACCCACCGAAGCCCACCCTAATTCTTTCGCCTAGTTTGATCCCATACGTATACTATACATGTAACGGTGTTGTACAGATGGTTGTGATAGTCGACTCTGTTGGTGTGGTACACGCAGAAAGAGATCAGGAATAATGATAGGTGAAATTTTGTATTACATATGTTTAGCGGTAATACCGTACACCACCCCCCCTTAACCATCAGTCACTTTAGTGACTGATTGACTAAATGGATACTCGTCCCAAATCATTTGGGACAGGGTTTGCACTTGTTGGTCCGAGTCCACTTTCCAACATTTCATCGCATGGTTAACAAGTCCATGCGATGCGCGAGCAAGGCCGCCGAGAGCACGTCCGCATGTCTCTGTGCGGACGCCGAAGTAGAGACCGCAGCAACTGATGTCTCATCGGTTGCTGAAGCGACCCAGCCTGTGTCACTTGGTGATGCAGGCGCTGGTCATGAAGACACTCATGTCTTCACAGAGTACGAGCTCGGTGTCTCGTACTCTCCTGATACGGAAGACGGATCCGTATCGACGGCGATCGAAACCAAGCCGCCTGCCAAGCGTGGCATGGATGATGCTTTGCGTCGTAGCATCTTTGGTTCATCTGATGAATCAGATGAACCATCGTCAAAGTGAAGGCGATCGAGATCGCAAGACTCGGGCGCTCACAGTGGTGTCGGTTCTCCTATTGAAACCACTTCGCAGCGAGGTACCAGTACTTCTGTCGGTACGTAGCAAGAAGAGCGGGACCGCAGTGTGTTGCGTCTCGCTCCCGAGAAGAAGGCATGGATGCCTCCAAAATCTGTCATGGATCACTTGTCGGCGACGACGAGTGATCGTTATCGAACACGATTGTTCGATTCGTCAAGGATCCATCACCTTGACCCCAGTGCGAAAAACTATCGCGCTGAACATGAGTTCTTCATCGATGCTTTCTTCAGACATCGATGGTACAGTGGGAATCAAAAACGTGATGGTACCTCACTGCTTCAGGCGTGGAACGCTGACATCCATAACCTTGAGGGTGTAGGTCATGACGTTTGGAACGACAAACTTATCAAAGCTCGTGATAAGTTTGAAAAGCGAACCCCGACAGGTGCACGCTACAAGCTGCATCGTCTGTCTAGGGAGAAAGGATTACCCTGCCTCTCTTGGGGAGACTCGTGCCCATGTTGTGTGAACAACTCTGCACGAGCACCTAAGGATGCTTACCTCCCTAATAGCCCGTGGTGGCGCGTACGTATCTCTACTGAGATGTACGAAGGGATTGACAACCTGAAATCCCTTTACGACCGTGCCGGGAAGACTTTCTCCAGCGGTCCTTCTGCGGCACAGGATGTGTCGCGTCGTACTGCTCAACCAGACCCAGTACGTCAACCATCAATTGGGAGCGGGGCTCCCAAGTATCCCAGGACGGGGGATAGCCGCGCCAACGGACGAGATAACTCGTCCGACGTCCGTTCACGTCGCGGTGGTTCAACAGCTGCTCAACTAGATAGCGCTGGCCACCGCGAGAGTCCTCTAATGGAGGTGGAGGAGGAGGTAAAACGCTCTCCACACAATCTTGGGGATCCGTGTGTTCCCGAGAGCTTCTTTGATCGCGTAACGCAAGGGTTACGCGGCGATCTCGAACATGAGCGGGACAGGCGTCTCCAAATGGCGGACACTGATTCAAAACATCGAGCTGAGTTTGCCTTTGCTCAGCTTGAGAACAAAAGAGATCTGACGTCTCTGCGTGACGAGCTAAGGGTAGCTCGTGGGGATTGTTGATCGGTCTCGGGATGAGATAGCTGCTCTTCAGACCCTTGTCGATGCCCACCATCGGGAGCACAAGGCTCTCTGCGAGATGCTTGAGCGCAAGGGCGTTCTTCATCGGAAGAAGCAGCGTACTGATGGTACGGCTTAAGCCGACCAACGTAAAACGTGGGATGCGTTCGCATCTTACGTGGTAACTCGATCGTGTATGCATTGCCTAGGCGGTGCAATACACGAAATGGGCCGATGTACTTGGGTAGTAGTTTACTACTACCCAAGTTAGTCACCTCATGCTTTGGTAGATTAACCGTAGACAGTAGGACTAAGTCACCTTTATTAAATAAAAGAGTGTTTGCCCTTCCATTCTTGTCAGCGTTTTGCTTTTGCTTGTCCACCGCTTCGGCGATGGAGTCTTGCACAAAACGGACTACCGTTTCACGAGCCAGTATGAACTCATCTGATGACTCGTTAGCTTCAGTGCGCTGTGAGTGCACTGCAGCAACATCAATCTTTTCGTCAGTGAGGGCTTCCGCACTCTCACTGGCATCATCTTCTTCGATATCGATGTTATCGATATCGGCATCAAACGCAACGACCTCTTCGTCAGAGCGTGATGAGCGTGAACCAAATCGGTTTTTGCTCGCGCGAGTCCCTCCCCCCTAAAACCAGAGTTACACTCTAGTAAGGTGGGTACACGCGGATGGCGCAAGCCATTCACGTAAAACGGTGTATGTGTCGGGGACGCATGCACCGAGTTGTTAATGGCAAACTCTACCATTGGCAAAAACTCACTCCAACTCTTAAAGGAGTGTACGTATCCTCGAAGTATCTCTTCAAGGACATGATTGGCACGTTCCGTCTGACCATCTGACTCTGGATGATCAGAAGTTGACATCTTCAAGCGCGTTCCGAGTGATTTGAACACGGAACGCCAGAAATCAGCAGTGAATCGTGGATCTCTGTCTGATACGAGTTCACGGGGCAACCCATGAAGTCGGAAGATGGTGTCAATAAAGACACAAGCACAGCCACTTGCCGTGATTGACCCTGGGTCAGCCACAAGGTGTAACATTTTGCTGAATCTGTCAACAAATACAAGAATACCCGTATTCCCGCGTGCGTCTTTGGGTAACCCGAAGACGTCGGTGATCGCCTTGATCTGTTCGGGATCAGGACGTACACCGTTCTTACCATCGATGCATCCAAGAAGTGGTATTTCGCTTGCTGCAAATATACACTTGTTGAGGTTTGCATACAATTGACGCTTTCGCATGATTGTAAGAACCTGTCGGACGTGGTATCTGTGAACCTCAACATCCGACTTTCCATCCATAGCTCGACTATGAATGAAGACGTCATCGAAATAACTCGGTGCGAATTCTCGCACTGGCCTCAACAGATGTGATACACATCTGTTGAACGTGGCAGGGGCATTACTAAGCCCTTGTGGCATTACTAGCCATTCCCAGAGCATGCCGCTAGGCGTGCTAACTGCGGCATAGGGTATATCCCGTTCTCGCATAAAGATCTGATAGAAGCCATCCATCAAATCCATGGACGAAAATATGGTGCTCTTTGACATACCATCAATGATTACGTCCTTCCTTGGTATCGGCGTCTGAGCCGGTACCGTTGCAGCATTCAGCCTGTTAAATGCATGCACTATCCGCCACCCTCCTGTTGCGTTTCGCACACAGAAGGTCGGAGAGCTATGTGGGGAAGTTGATTCCCTCACATGACCCGCAGCTAAACGATCGGCAAAGAACTTGTCGATCGCAAGTACTCGTTCACGAGACAGTGGCCACTGCTTCATGACACAGTACTTCGAGCCTGGTTTAAGCTCGACCTCGTGTCGAATACCTTTATCCTTCGGTAATTCGCACGGAACAGTTTCAGGGAATACATCCTTGAATTCAACCAAATCTTCATAGAGAGATTTTTTCTTGAGCGATTCCCACGATTGGGAGTCATATCGCTCAACTCGTGTCTTTTCATCTAGGACACGCTCGTCCATAGATGATCTACTGAGAACTCTCTCGTTCTCAGTAAACACTGTTGCTGACCTTATGTCGGTTACACACTCGTCGTCAGCGACGAGTATGCAGATCTGCTTGACTTTGCCACTACGTAGATCACGCAAGAACCTTTTTTGTTCGAGCGTTGGCAACTGAGTGATCTCCGAAGTCAACTTTGGAGGTGCAATCAGATCAAGTGTATAAGCGCCTACGCTTGATCCGTTATTGACTATGACATTCAATGTCTCTGTCATTTCCTGGGGACTTATTCCCTCAGGCCTCGAAGGACTTATTCCTTCGGCTTCCCGGGGACTTATTCCCGCGGGTTTCGGGGAACTTATTTTCCGCAGCATTTGTAAAATCGGGACGTATTCCCTTAATTTCCTCTAGCTGGGGTTGCGCAACCACAGCGAGATCCTCTACGAAAGACTCTCCAGTCGATCTAGGATTATCGTTTCGCTTAGCCTGAGCGATCGATTGTTTCTCTTCTAGATGTTCCCCGCTAGGGATACATCTTCGTCCCGGTCCACTCGACTTATTCGAGTGGTGGACTTTCGGCGCAGCCTGTGTTTCCTCACAGCCGCCGGACCTTTTCTCCGAAGTGTAACCGTTTGTTACACTAAGGTTTTGTGCAGTCGTACTAACGACCGTACCACAAGTGAGGCCATCGCACTCACTCGTAGTACATCCACACGCTTGTGGACGCTCCAAAACGTTCATCAGATGGCCATCTGATGAACAAGCGGCAGGCATCGTTACTGTTCGATGTTGCCAGTTTACCCGTGGTTCGTACCTTCTGAGCCACGGTATTCCAAGGATGACATCGAATTTTTCATCCAAATCCAATACGATAAAGTCATCGTCATATTGGGTATCTTCTAGCGTATAGTGGATTTTCACTATACGCTTCATGACGGTTACGGATGCGCCTGTCGCAAGACGTACCGTCATCCTCGTAGGAGGTGTGTCACATTCACTGAACTTAAAATGACCATCGTCTAGCGATTGGCGTCGCACAAAATTGTTGGACGCCCCACAATCGACTAGAGCTCGAAGGGACAACTTATTTGTCACTTCGAGTTTCAAAATAATGAGTGAGATCTCATTACCTGGAGCAGCAACGCAGAACGTTTGTGTGTTGGGAGCAACCTTCATCAAGAGGCCTATAAATTCTCTTGACGTTGCTGGACCAGTAGGGTGCTCCGCACCTACTGATCCTGTCCGTTTTTTGACGGTCCATCCCGTTGTTGCGTCTTTGCACCAACAGCGGACCCTCGTCCCTGCGCCATTCTCATGGGTGGACGGTCACTACGCCCAGTGTTGCGAGACACTGGACGAGGGGCACTACACTCGTAAGCGTAGTGTCCTGTCTTCTGACATCTGTTGCATCTCTGCAACTTCTTGTAGTCTGTAGAGCGAGCCTTCTCGCTCTCTACATAACAGAGTTCCATCGGCTCTGGACCTCCGTTGTCATATCGTCTCGGTTGACGATATGATGTCGAGCTGGCGCGAGCCTGTCTCAGACTGAAGTCTTCCTGCTCCGCAAAGGAAATGGCTTGTTCTAGTGAATCTAGTTCAAGACGGAACAGGTGAGTCTTGACGGGACCATCCGCAAGACCCTGCATGAACACCGAAACCAACGTGTGTTCATCCACCGGATTGGAACTTATACGACTCGTGAGATGTCGTATTTGTTGCGCGTAAGCGTGCACATCACGCTTACCTTGTTTGAGCTTCAAGAGTTCAGTTCGAGCTCTGAACTCACCTCCAGGCGGTTCAAACGTTTGTCTGAGCCGCGACTTGAAGACTTCCAACGACCCAAACGCGTATGGGTCGTGCAGCTTGAGCCCCAGTGCCCAAGTCTTG